GAAAAAATATAATTATTAATATATTGCTTCATAACTTATTTATTTAAATTACAGTTATAATTGTAGCTTCTGTCAATTGAAATTACATATATTATCAATTCGTTTTCAATTTCAAAATTTTATATTTGATCATTGATTATGTTAATTTACTTGACTACTTTGTATGGTTTTTGGAAAGCTATTAAAAAAACAATGTTTATAAATATGTAGTATAAGTAAAAAAGTATCATTTATTTTTATTTGTTTTGTTGACAATGTAAAATTGCAAGATGTTATATAATGCACGATTCTAAGAAGGCTGTGAATGGTTTAGCAAAATGTTAATAAACTTAAGTAATAATCCAAAGCGGGATATGTGGTTTGCAACGAATCCAATCGAGTTACTTTCCAATGATGACATCTGAGTTCTTTTCGATCCACTGGAGATAAGATGAGGTCCTGGTGTAGGCTCCTGGCCATTCGATTTCGCAGCCGAAGCTGATGCCGAAGGCGACTATGCCAATCTGAAAGGCAAACATTTGCGTGGAAATGAACCGCGTCTTCTCTTGCTTTTTTTTATTTCCATCCGTTCGTTTCTTTATTTTTCTTCCTTCTCGCCGCGATCCCGTTTGCACGTATGTGTGGGAAATGAATTATCGCGAATGAAACCTTCGCCAATTACGTGCATAAGATGGAGAAGAAGGCGACTCGGGTCGACAAGCGTTTAGCTTTAGAACGGTACGCGGAAATGTGTACTTAAGTGCAATTAGCATATCCGTCTTCGATGATAATTAGCGGTGCGGATCGAAGAATCGGGGTGGAAGTAAACTGAAATCTAACATACCTGTATGTTCTTGACCATGAGAGGTCCACCGGAGTCACCGTTACAAGCGGACTTTCCACCCTTTCCGCTTAAGCAGACGTGCGAGTCCTGAATCATACCGAAGTAGTATTGATTGCAATCGTAGTTGGTGATGATGTCGGACCAGGTACTCCTCAGCAGGTCTACAGTTCCAGGTGCTTCATCGTGGTCTTTTCCCCATCCGCTGACTGTCGCGTTTGCTCCAGTGTAATTCTGCGCGGCTTCTGAATAACTTGGAAGCTGGACCAGACCAATTTCCGCTAAAAACGTATTCTAACTTAATCAGAAACTAGTTGTATTATACTTAAACTCACGAGTCAGTTTGACAGCTTCCGGAAGCTCGATCAAGGCAATATCTCCTATCTTCTCGTACTGGTCGTAGTCTTCGAAAATCTTGAACTTGGTCGAGTTGATTCTGACTTGCGTTTCCTCCTCGATTCGCATGTTATGGGCTCCCAAGATCACAGTAACCTCTTGTGCTCTATTTGGCGTTAATTAAGAAATACTATCCATTTTATTCATACTTACATGATAGCACAATGAGCTGCAGTCAAGACATATTTCCTCGAAATCAAAGTTCCACCACAGAAGAATGTTCCATCAACAGCATGGATGAAAATCGCTACCTATAATTGAAACATTTCCATAATTATTATTTTTTAGTATAATTGATGAAATAAAAACATATAATATGATTTAAAAGACTATGAAATAATTCAATTTAATTGGATATTATTAATTTCTTCTTAATTAATCAAGGTTTTGACTATTTTTTTGTAATATCGGATATTTTGATATTGTATATTTTGATTGATCCACACTTTGCACAATGAAGACGTGTCAGTTGTACCACTCAGATGTCATTAAAATTGACAGCTTTAATGGTACACTTTATACATAGCAGTTAATACTCCTGACAGGCGTTTATGTTCCATTAAATTGATAGTGTGTATGTACCATCAAAATAACGGACGTTTTTTTTTTATTATCATAATATATAGATTAAAAAAAAACACAAACAGTCTCGAGTATAGAAGCGGATAGAAATATGATTAATTAATTACTGAATCATTCATATAAAAACTGATACCAGTTTTCAAATGTAAATTGTAATTGACTAATATGAATACAATCTTTATTGCATCAAATGAAAACATAACGAATAACATGGAAATCAGGTTAATTTTATCATTAGCCAAGGATCGAGAGTACTTTCAATTAATCCAAAGTGCAATTAAACAAATCGTGGAATAGCAGAGAGATCGTAGGTAGCGGAAACCGTTTTATGTTTTGTTTTTGTTCTGTTCGACGGATGATGATGCTTTACAGTTATTTTTTTTTTAAACCGGAGCGGAAATTTCAATTTCATTCCGATGCAAAGCTCCCGCCATTATCTTATATACTATTACAATTTACAATTACGCCGTTGTTTCGAATTTGTTTTCACACGACGTCAATTTTCGCTTTCATTCGATGAGGTGTTTACAGTTAAGTGAATAAAAAAAAATAGGATGTCCCAATTCTGCAAACTACTTTTACTCTCGGCAATCTAATTCCATTATCAGCAACATATTGCGTAATTAATTCAATTAATTTTCTGGTGGTGTGAAAAGATACTTTAAAATGTGGTTTATGATAATCAAATGGAAAATTGTAGCTAATTAAAAAAATGTATATTTATTAATAATGGTTTTTGACGCTTGATTTAAAATTTTCTAATAGATTTTGTGCATTCACACTATCAATGATTTGAGACAACATCAACAATTATTGATAATCATGATATCATTAAAATTAGTTGTCTTAACTTCATAAGTTTGTGCCATGAAATGAATTGTGAAAATTAATTAATTATAAAATTATTAAAAGTTAATTTATCATTCATTTAATTATAGTTAACGGTTCAATGAAAAATAGGTTGTATCGATTCCGTAAACTACTTTTACTCTCCGTAATCTAATTTCATTATCAGTGATTGCGAAATTATTTAAATTAGTCCTGCTGCGCGGAGGAGGTCCTTTTTTTTCTATATTTACTAAGGTGGTATTTAATGACAAGTTTCCAGTGAATTTCATTAAACCAAATAGTAAAAAAAATGCCTTTAATGCAAACACACATTCAAGTAGAATATATATATGTATATTGAGGCCGTACACCAAGCACAGCGAATAAATTACGGAACAGTCACGACTCACACGTTGTTCCACCTTATCACAAGACCAAAAAAGATATGTATTAAACAATGAATATGGCATGAATAACCACGTTTGTTGCAAATCAAATGAAGACAACGAGGAATTCGGTTTAAATATATAGAAAACCGAAAGGAATTGATTGTTTAGGTTCTGGTGCAATGTGGAAATGTGTTTGCTTTGGAATCAGTGATGTTTTATCGTCCGCCTGCGAAATTCTCGGATTTCTAAATATTTACGACGTTAATAGAGACCGAATGATAAAGTTTTCAAGAGTAATGAACTTGCCATCTGCCAACTGCAGACGAAAGCGCATTTTGAAATGGATTTTAATGCGTTTGGGTTTTTCGGTTATTTTTACACTTTCTTTTTTCGGTTTTCCGAACGGGGAAATAACGGAAGCTCATTTACCTGGTAGGGAATCGAGTTCTTTTGCACCTCCGTGCCGCCCACCACTCTATTTCTGTCTTCTGGTGCACGTGGAAAGAATCTGGTTGGAGGAGGAACCACGACCGGGCGGATTCCCTTTACTTCGGACCAATTTATTTTACCCTTCGAAGAAAAAGAAAACATTAAATACTTGTCAGTTGCTATAATTAAAATTCAATCTTGAAGATCTTTCATAGAAAGATAAACTTAGTTTGAAATATCTCTGCTCATGATGATTAAACATAATTAACTTAAATTCAAGATGATTAAAACCCATTCTCTACATTTCTATTCAGTTCTGTATAGGAATTTTAGATTGTGAAAGAAAAGAAGATTAATTTTAAATGTTCTTAAAAAAACTGATAAATATTAATGAAGGTCGAAATACGGTATTTATTTAGATTGTATAATATGAGAAGATTGTTTGGATATCAAATAAAACTAATAATGTCACCTGTGCAAGAGTTGCAAGAGTAGCTAAGACGATGAAATACTTCATGATTGTACACTTATTATTCAGCTGAAACTGTTGATGAGTTTCCATCCTGAATACCTTTTTATACGAATCGAAATATTATAATCATTCATAACTGATCACAGACAATAATACGGGGATTACAGATAACGCATGATTATCATGCCTTTTAGTACAATTTGTTTTGTCTACTATGCAAAACAATTACTCTTACTTCTTTGAAGTGCGAAACCATAATCGCGCGATAACAATCTAGGACAACACGTAGTTTCAATCATTACGTTCCAATATTTTTTTTTTGTTATATGCATTATTTTTTATAAACATATGATGATTGTTTTGACTGAAATAAAGTCCAGGGTCAGGTGGTTTGCTTCTTTCGCGCGTTTACAACACTTCAAGGTGTTTTGAATTTTCTTCTGACTATCGAATAACTATTAAAACCGAATGATGATTCATTGACCTACTTTTATTTATTTGTTTCATTTATTTATTTTTTTTGTGATTCTTGCATTATTTTTTATTTTTATCCAAATTTGGTGGTGAAGTTCAGAATTGTGTACATTGCAGTTCCGAAGTTCTTAAAATGGATGTTCGTTATTGACAAATCCAGATTTAGTATTGAAATCTCCGACTTCAAGGTTTTCAACGACGACTCGAAGCGATTTTTTAATTGCCGCAATTATGTAATTTCACATTAAAAAATATTTGCAGTTTGTCGGGTGCGTTTTAAAGCACTCAAGGAGTGGTTATGAATACGAGATAAATAAGATTTTACTAAATAGCTTTCTACAGTTAATGATTTATAGTAGAATCTTTCAATTTAAATATTCATTTTTGTCATTTGCAAAACTTTATTCGTGTTAATTAAACTTGATTCGTAGATTATTAATTATTTTAAATAATTAACTATTTGTTGATAATATTAACTTTACACTAATTATAATTAAACCTTATCTTAAATGTTTTGATCATGTTTATACGTATTATCCAAAGGATTTACTTGACGTTGAACTTATTTTCTAGATATAAATTAATCAATGTATACTATTTTGCGTTACAGATCGACAAATAGCAATGGTTGTGTCATCCAGAAGAGCAAGAGTCAAGCAGGCGTAGCTGCAGAGCAGCAACGGCAGTTGGCAGCGGAGGCGGCAGCAGCGGTGGCAGCAGGAGGAATCCGCAAGTCGAAGACGACGGACGCGATGCGCCGTATTGAGAAGATCCAGGAGCAGCTCAAGCAGAGTGGAGACAACGACTGGAAGCGGCGCATACCGACTTTGAACAATTCGAATCAGGAGATCAACCTGCTCAACTCTAGGAATTTGTACAATGTAAGTATTAAAATTAAAGTTAGAGCTGCGCGACGTTCTGTGTCGGATGAATAGTATATTGGTCGTAGACTATGCAGGTTATCGACAATTACAAACTATCGTTGTAACCTTATCGCTTCGGATTTCCGACCATAACTTTCAGTTACACAACAATGCACTAGCACGAATCTAATACAACTAAAATACACTGTTTGACATTTTATTTAGAACGTAGGTGATAAAGTAATAGATCCAAACAATGTGTAACTTTTAAAAGTAATGAAAAAATCAAATATATTTATACATTTTTATTGGTCATAATTTGGATAAATAGTTCAACAAATATAGTTAATTAAGATGCTTAAGAGTATCAAGAAATTATAATGTTTATTATTTAGTACCAGATATAAAAATATTTTTCAAAACTAATTAAGTAAATTTCAATTTTCTTATTACTGCATGTTTTCTTTAGTTATGTTTTAATGCGACAAACTCTTTTATACATCTTAGAATTAAATTAGCATGTTGTTGATAATTGAACATGTAAATAATTTAAGTTACGCATTTATTTTTATTAAATTAAATATTATTGTTACATTATTATTTTTTTAATTAAGTATAATTAATTTTAATTGTTTTTTTTATTTTTGCTCAGTTAATTTTATCGTCGCACAGATTAAATTGGAGAACGTTTTTAAAAGATAAAAATAGTCTACCGAGTTTGTATTATATATATAGGCAATGTATGTAACATCTATGTAAACGTTAAATAAGTTGCCTATACTATTCATTATGATTAGATTTGGGTCTTGCTCAATTCAGATTGAGTTTAATGTCTATATATAGAGTATATATAGACAGTAACGCTTTGATTATTAATCTTTATCTATAAATAATAGGATTATAAAATTAGTTCAAAAATATAATAATAGCTATTATTTCATTGACAATATTAATTTAATGTTACTTAAAATTAATTGAATATTCATTTAAGACCAAAGTCTTAAATACTTTGGTCGAAACGAATCAATGAATTTCATAAATAAATAAGAAAAAAATGAATGTTTCTTTATTGTTATTGAATTACATGAAAATACATTAAATGTTGAAATTGAGCTATTAATCAATATTTTTTATTTCTATATTTGAGTTCTCGCAATTTCTGTTAATGTTGTGTAATACATACAAAGAGGAATCCCAGATTAATGAAATAATTCTCATTACTTGCGTACATTTTTCATCATATAAAATCCAATTCATCTTATAAATCCAATTTATTTGATGAAAATTAAAAACAAAATTTAATGTCTATATATGTTATCTTGTTTAATACTGCAGCGTTTTTCATTTGTTAGAGTTGTTGCATTGAATTATTCAATGCCTTCAAAATTAGAAAAAAAAGGAAAATAATTGTAATGTTTTGTAATAAGAAATCTTAAAGAGAAAATGTGGAATTAGAATACGATTATTGTTAATTTTCTTTATATTTGATAATAAAATATAACAATCACATACAAACAAATAAAACAATGTTATAAAGGGCTAATATCCATACTGTAATATATAATCAATGATAATTTTGCATGTTTAAGTCATTTTGAGTAAATTGAAAACAGAAATATCAAATGTAGTAATCTTTTTAATGGGAGTGAACGTCTTTGATGCATACAATCATAAAATACTAAGATAAGAAATAGATATACTTATCTCGCGCAAAAACAAAACATTGTGTATAGAGTTTGCAGTCTGGCTAGATCATCAACAGATCAAAATGAAGGTGTAAGCATTATTATTTTTACTTTTTAATATACTTGAATCTAGTCAAATCTGAAAAAAACTTAAAATAATTTATTTTGAACAATTCTTTCACGCAAAAATATAAATAAATAAGTCAGTTGCTATCAATTTATATTGAAGTGAGGTTTCTTTAGTGCAGTCGGCCAAGTTAATTGCTGCTTATAAAATTATTAATTTTGCGTTAATGACTTGCTTTTCATGAATGATACATGATTTTCTTTTGTGCGCGTGTAACACAAATACATATGCATTTACACGAAACGGACTTCGTGGCCCGTGAAGTAATTTGGGTTACTGTTTTTGCTTTAAAATAATAAAGATTAGAACGTTGTCAGCGATAAAGGGAAGATACACAATATATGGTTTAATCTTATTAACAATTAATGCAGGTGCAAATACATGAATGTTTTAGTGTACGACGAATGTGACGTAATCGCGAAGCGAAAAAGGTGCCAATTTTTGCTTAGTACGCATACGCGTTTATAGACTTAACTTTTTATTTTAGTTCCGTAAGCAAAGCGCGGTTGCTCACCGCAAAACCATTTTCAGTCGATTATCAAGTGTGCAGCCTTGATGTGTGCTCATTTGGATTGATCGCTAAGAATATTTACTCATTTAACTTTCGCGAAAATGTGGATGTTTGCGCTAACCGCGGCCGTGGCCTTTTTCTTAATATTTGTAATTAAATACTTAATGTGTTTGGGACGACAGGACGAATTATCCGATTTCTCCAATCTCAAGGCCAAGAAGGATGAGCTGGACGCGTCTTCCAAGCAATGGAAGTCTCGTGTCGAGAAGTCAGATGCTACGAACTATTCGGTTACCGGAAGGATGCAGCAGATCAAAGACGTGCCCAACATCTCAATTAACATCTCCATAGCCGATAAGGTCAGGAGGATGCCCAAAGCTAAACGTTTCAAAGGCAAAGATGGTAATTACATTTTATAATTACAATTTGAATTTGTTTTATTAATTTTCAAAATGATGTTTCAGGGGATGATACGAAGGAGACCATCTCTACCCCGGTTTCTCCGGAAATCGATAACGGCGGTACGTTCAGACGAAGTATTTCCGTGCCGAATAACGCGGAAAACGATTCTTCCGGTAATTAATGCACTTGGCATTCCGAAAACGGAATACTAAAACCGTATTTGGTTACAGGTTCCGATAGTTCTTTGAGATCTTCCGGTAGGAAAGTAAAAGTGACGAGGCCCGATGACGACACCTTCCAGAGTTTCTTCCAGAGCGTGAAGGAAATGAGGACCGAAGAACGGGTGGAAGTGTCTTTGGACGATTTCGACTCTGTGAGTCGACAGACAGAGACGCTTTTGGTCCAAAAGAAGAATGTACGAGTTCAGAGGCGCGTCAAAGGCGCCTCCAAGAATCCTTTGAAGGTGCTCGCGGCGCGTTCCGACATCCAGAGCGAATACACTGAAGTTGCAACGGGAATCGCAGAGAGAGAATCGAAAAGACTGAACGTTGAAAAATGTAAGTGAATCATCAGTTTCTTTTTTTTAGAAAATAATTAATTATTGTTAATCTGTGTATTTAGTGGCAAGAAATTCTAATTTGGCCATGGAAGCTTTAGCCGGATTAGCAAGCAAAGAAGATTTTGCGGCAGTTTCTTTGAAGAAAGGTTCGAACAATCACATTTCGTATTTGCCGTTCAACAACATGATGCTGCTGCAAATCAAAGGACGGAGACACGTTCAGACGAGACTTGTAGAACCGGTAGCAACGAGCATCAATCAAGGTGATAATTACATCTTAATTACTCCGGATGCTCTCTTCAATTACATCGGAAGCTATTCGAACGTTATAGAACAATCACGCGCCGCCGATATTATCAATCACATTCAGAGCACTCGCGACATGGGTTGCAAAGTGGAGAAAGCGATTGTTTTAGGAGAGAAATCCTATGGATCATCGAAGGATTCGGACAAGTTCTGGAAGCTGCTCAATGCGGACGAAAAGAAAATCGTCGAAGCAGGGCATCCGGACGAGGACGAAGTTTATGAAACCAGAATGATTGATACCAATATGATTTATTATGTTGAAAACGATGAGTTGGTGCCGCTCGAGGAATACTGGGGTAAAATCCCGAAGATCGAGATGCTCCAACCGTCGCGTGTTTTGGTATTTGACTTTGGTAGCGAGATGTACGTCTGGAGCGGCAAGACCGCTAATCCTGATGTGAAGAAAACCGCTCTTAACTTAGCAAAGCAATTGTGGGATAGTGGATATAATTACTCGGATTGTGAACTCTGTCCTCTGAATATTGCTAACGTATTGGGAGCGAGAGCTAAAGTTGATCAATCTTTGAAAGCTGACGCTAGGCCGGATTGGGCCATCTTTGCCAAAATTTCGCAGCACAGAGAGACTATATTATTTAGGGAGAAATTCTTGGATTGGCCCGACTACAGTCGCGTGATTCGCGTCAAGGACAGCGGAAACGAGAAGAACAACAGTGAGGCCACTATTGACATAAAACCGTGCAACGCGAATGAATTGATCTGTGAGTATGTCGAACCGAACTTTGAGACTGAGGGTAGTCTTTTGGGACGGGGTCGGAACTATTTTAACGAAGAGACGAACATCCACTCGGAGATCAAGACACTGTCCGTGACAAATATGAGAATTTTAGAAAATACGTGGGAGGAGTTGCCGGAAGAATCCAAAGGGCACTTTTACGATGGTGACAGTTATATAATACGTTGGAAGTTTAGGGTGACCGTGACTGGAAGGGAACTAAGTGGTAAACCATCCAAACATGCTCAAGTGGGCAGAGATCGCTGCATCTACTTTTATTGGCTCGGAAAGAATTCCTCCATGAACGAACAAGGCGTTGCAGCTTTACTAACCATTGAATTAGATAAAGTGGAAAATGCGAAACAATGCAGAGTATTACAAGGATTGGAACCTCCTGTATTCTTGCAATTATTTGATGGTAAAATGTTTGTGCATAGCGGAAAACGTGATCAGGACATTAATGACGAGAGACTTTACATCTGTCGCGGAGAAGTCGAGAGCGAAAGCAGTTTAGTCGAGGTTCCGTGTAGTATGCGCAGTCTGAGGAGCAGAACTACCTTTGTTTATGTCAATAAGAATACTGTAGTCGTATGGAAAGGATGCAAAGCCTCCGATCAAACAAAGAAAGTAACAAATACGATGCAAGAATTTATTTTAAGCGAGAAACCAGAGGAGTTTGGTTTGGAAGATGAAGTTGAGTTGAAGGTGTACGAGGAAGGACAGGAAGATGAATCGTTTTTGGAATGTCTCGGAGAGAAGAGACACTTGTATGAAAGTCTGCTGGAAAGTAACGAGAAATACGAGGAAACCATGAAACTGTTCAAGTTCAATAGTATTCACGGTAAATTTGAGGTCACCGAAACTCTGTGCCAGCATCGAAGCAAGGATTTCGTTACGCCCTATCCTTTTTTGCAATCCGAATTGTATTCAGCTAATCAGCCTGGTAAGTATTATTTGTAAACTGTTATAAAATGGTTTATCAATTTTATTTTGTATTGTAGCGTTGTATTTGTTGGACAACGGACATGAGTTGTGGCTGTGGCAAGGTTGGTGGCCCGAGAGGGATACCGACTTAGAGCTAAGCGAACAAACTGGATCTGGAGCAATCCGATGGCAGGCGGAGAGGAAGGCTGCCATGCAAACAGCTATTGACTATTGGGCTCTAAGGCATCCCAACTTCGAAGCCAAAACGGCGCCCGCTTTCCTGGTTTGGGCCGGACTCGAACCACTCTCCTTTACCAATCTATTCCCTATTTGGTGTGATAGGGATGATATTGCTGGATTAAATATAAAGGTATAGTACACGTACAAATCATGCTTCATTCCATAGCATTATTAATCTGTAATTTTTATTTTGCAGGAGGGAAAGAAAGCCGGAGACAAAGTGTTAATCGAAAAAGAATTGACGTTGCTGACAAGGACCACGTATCCATTGAGCGAACTGCTGCAGCGGCCGCTCCCGGATGGCGTGAATCCCACTCATCTGGAAAACTACCTTTCATTGGAGGACTTCGACAAGTTGCTTTCAATGTCGAAGGAAGAGTTCCAAAAACTGCCGATCTGGAAGCAGAATTCTTTGAAGAAGGAGAAGGGGCTGTTCTGACCTAAGTTTGACCCGATGTTTCTGTTATTTGCTAGCAAATTGGAAAGGTTTTTAATGAATTGTCTGGAGTCGCTGAAATCGGTGAAATTGAAGCGGGATTCATGGCCCTGACTCTTTTATACGTATAGGACTGATGAAATTGTTTATTACTATTATGATTAATATTATTATTTTGTTGTTAATTTATTTGTGTATCTCGATATCTCATAATAACCTAAGCGGAAAGTTCTAAATAATATTTAAGTACTTAATGGAAATTTATATATATATAAAAAAAATGTTAATTTTCCTCTCAATTATTATTATTTTTTAATTAATCTGTGATTATTTTATTTGTGTAATTGTATATATTGGTGCCTTGCAAATCATAGGAATTGAATTCACTTCGGTTCTTTTCTCTAGTCCTTTTTTTAAAAAAATAATTGTTATCCTTGGTGGCACTGTAATATATTTAAATACACTCAAATAATTATGATTCGTTTCGTTTTGATTATATTATTATTATCCGTTTTTTTTTTCTCTTTGTTTTGCTACAAAATTATTGTCCACATAAAAGAAATGAAGGAAAATACTAATGTTGTATTTAAAATAATGCCTTATTAACTTGTCGAAGGATAAGAATATTAATAATAATAATATATTACATGATGTGTGATGTTTTGTCATATCGACAATATTTTGTATAGACGAACCTTTTAACTTTTCATTTTAGTCATAGCTTTTGTACTAAATGAGAAACACGTTTCGATTGTATAATTCATAATGATGATACTACATACACATTTACGCGAATTATGATCAACCCTCTCATACGTGTCACCCTTCACGTTAGAAAATCTACATACAAAAAATATATTGAAGCTATATATCATTGAACCTTACTTATTTCGTTTGTGTTTTGTACTTAACTTTTAAAAATAAAATAAATATTTTGTATAAACTCTTAACTGATTGCGAAAATTGTTATATGTCTCTTTTTAACATTTATTATTTTTTTAATACTATGTTTTTTTGACTATCACATATAACTCAATAAACGCCCATGAAACTATAATCAACTGTCCATTAAACCTCACCCAAAATTAATACATAAGTATCTAATCCTATACTCTATAATCAAGTAGGATAATAACAGGATATCCTCTGAAATTGGCCGGATAATAGAGATATTACATCATAAATAAACTGTCAAGTTGCAAGGGGATATAACTATAACAGTGATTGATTGGATTTAGGCTAATACATACATATTCTATTAAAGGGATTCTATTATATAGTGTTAAACCTTCATTAGCATATATATATCTCGAAATATTTATTAATTAAAATTATAAAATACAATTCATGGTTTATAGGAATATTTTATCAATTTTTATTAATTTATAATGAAAATGTTGATTCAAATGATTAAAATAATATTTGTGTCTATTTGAAACTAATTTAATTATTCCTGAATTAATAATAATATAAACTCTATTTGTTATTGTTTATTTCATGAATATAATAAAACAATAATGTAATTACGATAATGATTACCTAGTTAATATTGATTTTGAATAGTTAATGATAACAAGTACAAAGCTCATCATAGTTTTTTTATTTTCCTAAAAGTTTGAAATATAAGTATAGTAAATAATTATTATACTTAATATAAAGTAGCAAAGCTTATTTTAAACAATTATCTCAAAATAAACATAGTTATGAGTTAAATTACTAACCAGCATATTATTCTAGATCTACCGCAGGATATGCAGCGCGTATAGGACAATTTCACGAGACGCAGTGCAGGTGATAGCAGGTGTGTGGCACACCTGCAATAGAGCTTCTTGTTCTTCAAATAGAGCCTTGGTTAAGCAGAAAGCACGGTGAAACAACATTTCACCTGAGCCAGGTGCTGTCTGGCCATGGATGCTTTGGCAAGTACCTGCACTTTATCGCGAAGAAGGACGAAAGGTGCTGGTACTGTGATGAGGACGATAGTCCTGAGCACACGCTATTTGGGTGCTGCAGATGGGTTGGAAGGAAGTACAAGGAGGAGGCAGAATTGGAAGTTCTGTTAGAGCCAGAAAATGTTGTCAGTGAAATGCTGAAGAGTGCGGAGAGCAGGGATATTGTAGCGGCGTACATATCAGAGGTGCTACTATGCAAATAAAAAGACGAACAGTGGCTGCAGAGGATAGTGGCAGTGGAGGCCAGTATTAACATGTTGTAGGGGAAGTGCCAGAGAGGCAAAGACAATCAGCATCGCAGAGTAGTATAGCGATACAGATCCTGGCGAAGAAGGGGAGAAAAAATCCCACAGTACGACGACTCCCTATGTAAGGTTTCCTCTCTATAAAAAAAGATCTACCGCATACATTTTATTAGTAATCAAAAACTATAAAGATGTATTCCTAATTGAAAACAGTGACATAAAAATAGTATGTAATATTACTTAGTTTTTTTTAACAAGCGTATTTTTCGGACGTTAATTTAACAAATGCGCCTTAATAATGTTCTATTGGCTCATGTTTCCTTTTTATAATGTAGAACAGGAGTTCCCTGTACTATAAGAATGCCGTGAAAAGCTAAAATTTTGATATATTAACTTGAAGTTCGCCCTGAGATTAACCAATGTTTGGCATGGGGCGCCGCGGAAAAGTTCTGATATATTAAGTACGCTGCAAACCGAAAAAGTTTAGGAAACCCTGATGTAGAAGCTTTTTATATTTTTTTAGTTGATTTGAGTTTGATTCGACATTCAAATGCTAATATGAGAAGAGAAGCAATGATGCCAAACGACAGAACAAAGAATGCGGGAGCAACTTGTTCCAATTCGATTTGCAATACGTTCGCGCTGGAAAGGCACTCGGGCTTTTGCGCTTGCCAGATCAAAGTCTCCCTACGCATTAAACCTCTCTCCATCAATTTCCTGTAACTGAAGATCGCATTGTTATACATACCAAAATGAAAATAAAACTGCACACCTGATGGAAAAGAGCCTATTGTACTGTGAATTCTTCTGCGCCAGCACGTATATCAGAGTAGGCTTGAACACGTAGATCTCGCACAGGTCGCAGATCTGCGAACTGTCGAAGGTTTTAGCGATCAGCGGATATCCGGTCGCCGGCTCCACGTGATACGCAAAGCCTCCAGATTTAACTCTGGCTATGCCTTCCGTCGGATTAAAATAGTTTGGCTTTTTGCCGCGCGCCAGAATCTTCTTGTCCCGTAAATAGATTATGTCCGGATCGATGGTCGTCTGCAAAAGGAACGAAACTGCAAATTATGACCTTAATTAAGCCCCACCGCTCCAATTCACTTTGAATAATCTCTCGGTGTAAGCTATATCCTCCATTCCTAGATCTAAATTGCTATGCACCAATTCGCCGACCGTCGAAAAAGCCGCCGTGCGGGAATTGATCAGATCGGATACGATGCTTGATGTATAGTAATTGTACAGAAGCAGGGACAGCACCATCAACGACAGGATCAGAATTCGTCCAGTCAGATTATCCTCGTCCGTTTCAATATCTTCAAAAATAACAAGCTTTCAGTATCTTCAATAAATTGGTTTTCATGAAACTACTGAACTCAACTAGTTGGCCTGAATTTTAGAGAGAATGTTAAACATATCATTCAAGTTTGTATATAAGTTTGCCAATAAAATGTAATTTTTGTTGCTTAATTTCGTTAAATAAATTGTCTAGATGAGAGTATTGAAATTATATTTACAGAGTTAAATTTTTCAAGAAGCAACACGTAAAGATATGTGTAATGATTTTCTTGACATTTTTTGTTTCTGATGATTTTATAGATTCCGGTAGACAAAGTTTGAAGATCAAACAAACCTTGCTGACAGAATGCAGCTAAAGTATTCAAGGTGGAGCTGGACCAAGAACCTCTCTCGCTTTGCGTTCTAGTTAGTTTTCCATGTATATAAAAGGTAGCTTTTATAAATACGGTGAGTATAATCAGAAACAGTAAGCAGATGCACCAAGTCTTCGCGGCGAAAGGATCGAAAAACTGGTTGCGAATTTTACCAACGGCGCTCGGGTTTCTGAAGATAAAGCATGTACTAAAACACAATAACAAATATTAAAGATTATTTCACAATTTTATATAATGCAAACCCAAAATAATAGGTGGATATTAGGTAATCTATGGCGGTGACTCGATCTCTCGTCATGATACCGGAAGTTGCCGAAACATCCGCTTCACGATAATACAGATGCTTCGTCAATCCTCCATCAATTCCGCTCGGTGTTGGCCCATACCACGTGTACGTTGTCATTAATGTATACCTACAAAAAGACATCAATTACCATCGAAAAGTTAAATTGATCAATACCACACTTGAATTCATGCACATCGACTAAGTGCAGAAAAAGAGCGAAGTTCAGTTTGTTCACAGCATCGTCAATATTTTTCCTGTTAACTAAATATTCTTCAGCTGTTCCACTAATATTTTTAGTAATCTATAACACAAAAACATTTACAAAAATAATCAATAACCTTATAAAATGTACACTCACCACAGTTGTAGTTTTAATAACTAAACCGGAGAGATTTTTCCGCGCCAAATAGAAGTTGTTCTCGATCACGAAACGAAAACTACCTTTACTAAAAATCATCGAATCCCTTGAAACTATCTTTGCACCGACTCCGCCTGGATTATAAACTTCTCGGAGTTTGTAACTGTTCCCTTCTTGCCTAGCCACAAACACTTCCGAGTCCAACCTGAGTTTCGCCTCGTTAAAATAATCCTCGATTACAATGCTATTTTCCACATCCAAAAGCAACCAATTGTACGTGTCTCCGAATCTAGAGTTCCACTTTGTCAAATCGGCATCCTAAGTGCAATAATAATTATGAATAATACATAATAATACATTAGTTGTGATTACTTACTAAGGTTACAAATGTTTTGGAATTTGGACAGTGTAGATCCAAGACGTAGCCGTATCTATTGTAATAAATAGCACTAGCATTTTCAATGATACCTTTATAATTAACTATAAAATAATCCACTTCGATGATGGCGCTTCGTATAAAATGTTCACTCAGATAATTCTGTAATAGTATAGAATCTAAAAATGAGAACCTTATGTAATTAACTTATATTCTATAGCACATTAAAGACCTACATTTTAGATATTGTAATAATTTTACATACTAAACTCACTAAAAACCTCTTGGTATTATTAATAAAACGTATTTTTATGACATACATAACTAATATTACACATACGTATTATTTGTATAATGTGTTTGTAACATAATTTTACTAATTGATAATTTACTAGTCAAAATAATGAAATGAAGATTGGGGTTACCCAAAATGTATGAGTATTAGTTAATATAGAGTTTAATGTCTTATGATTTAGGTAGACATCAATTTCACTAATTATTTAGTTAATTATATTGTAATTCTCGCTTTACGGTAATTGATAGTATAAAAACGCACTATAAATATAGTTCTGATCTATCTACGTAATAATTATTTCACAAATCTTACCTTTAAAATAATAGGAATATTGTGTATCTGAAATATTTTGAGTTTATATTAATTTGTACTTTGAATTCTCTTTGGAGCTGCAAATATTGTATATACCATATGTTTTATATAATGTACAAATAATATTATTATTTATTCATCTCTTTAAGAAATAAAATAAGTAATCTTGCTTAATATACAAGAAAAACACGAACAAGTTTGCATATCAAACGGAATTTCTTAAATACATGGAATCTGTCGATCCGTTACGGTAAAACTACGCAAGAATGTTACATCATAATTTCATCTTTTCCTCGATAGATTAAAATAAAATGTTTGGAAACACTAAACCATATGTTCATTCCATTCCAGTTTCAATATATCACAACTAGTCGAGACAGATAAAGTATATTTGTTGTAAAACGATATATTTCTAAATATTTATAATTAAAAATAAAATATTTTAAATAGAGAATTATATCAAAAGATCTCATTTTCTATTACAGAAAATTAATTCTACATTTTTCAATTTAATTAAATATATTGAAACGTTACCTTTCCTATTACACGTTATCAATTCAATCAATTCCACGTTTTTCAATTCCATAAATTAGCAACAAGCAGCAACATGGAAATAAGATTGTAAGTAACAGTGTGGATTTAATCTGCACCATTTTCGTTTCTCTCACTCGAATTCAGCTCGTTTTTGCTTTAAGTATGAACCGTATTTTAATATTTAATCACTTCTCAAAGCAATAAGCTTATTTCAAAACTACAAAGTGGCGCCGATGTCAGTCAGTTGATATTTTCTTTTGAGAATATTAAATTAAACTGATATGATTTGCATTCAGCCGATTAACGTATAAAACTCGATAAATTTTCAATTTTCAAACACAGTTTTGTGCATTCTTATAATGGAATTGTTCACAGTATTAATTAATTATTTAGTATTCTTTCATATCAAATATGTAACTATTTTAACTTGTTGGGACAACAAAGGTAAATACAGGCAATACCTCGCATAGTCCGGCTTCAATAAGTCCGAATTTATTATACCTTTTTGTGCGGTTAATCTTTATATTTACTTCCTTGATTAATCGGGTTTCAAACAGTCCGGTATTTTGGTAGATTTTCCTGTTTTTTATAACATTTATTTTAGATATTTGTAAGCTTCAAAAAGCTTTGAGTTCCGAGCGAATAAGATCTGCAAATCGATTTTCAGTTAATAATTTAAATGGCTTTCACATTACGATTACTGATGCAAATTGTACAAAAAACTCGGCTTATATAACAAAGGTAATTTATAAACATTTAATACCAAAGTTAAATTAATTTATTATTTTAGGTTGCTCTGAATTATAACAATAAATGGTTATTTATAACAAACATAGATAAATTTAGAAAAAAGTTAGAGTTTACAAAACTTCGATTAGATTCGGATGTTAAAGTCTTCGATTATACCACTAATTTCATTTACGACGTTTATGGGATTAATGGTAAAACCAAAATCATAAATTTGGGAAGTTTCCAAAAACTGAAGAAATTTTCCATCTACGACCTGCGAAAAGATTTATCTGGAATTCATTTAAATGTCTCAACTATTGTCGATCAAACACGAAATTCATCAATCGAAAACTATTTATTGGATACGAAATTTAAGTACTTAGATCCACAGGATAAAATCAATTTTGGACTTTTCACTATACTAAGGAATTATCACAATTTTACGTGAATTGACAACTTAAAAATGTTTAATTTTATAATCATTTTAATATTTTAGTTCACGTTTTATGTCAGTCTTTAAGGATTCAAGAATTTACTCAATAGGATTTAACAAAGACTTATTGAATTGTAGCGAATTTGCAATTGCTTCTTGTTTTATTAACGAGGATTCAGTAGGATCGTTTGATTTTATAGTGCCGCATTACTTGTACAGGTAATTCCAATCGGTTTAGACAGGTATAATAAAAATAATGTGTAATAAAATGCGCAATTGTTGCGTTGTTCACTTCACTTTTTAAGAAAGTGCGGAAGAGAACTTTCATTTCTGCTATTGAAATCGTAACATGTGGTATATACGAATTATGTAAAATAGGATTAATTATGTTTAATTATTTATTTCATTAGCACAAAAGAAAATTTTAATTGGATTTTTTTTCTCATATTTTTTTTGCAATTATTATTTAAGAAAATACACTTTCTTAGCTTATAAATATTGTATTAAAATGTAGGACTTGTTTCGTGTTTCGTAATCCTGGGAATTTCGAAGGAAGAAATGAGTATGTGGATACGATGTCTTCTGAGGTTTGGTACTGTATTTTGGGATCGACGTTTTTGGTAATGCTACTGCTTAAAATTGTATACTTCTTCGATATAAAGTTCAATCAGAGAGCTGAAGAATTGGTTAGAACCAATTGTAGGGAAGGCAAGGAATGGTCTGCTATTATTAGCGATACGTTATCAATTTTGATTCAACAAGGTTAAAGAAAATGAAGCTTGAATTTGTGCAGAATATAATAATTTGTCAATGATTTCAGGATCGAATTATGAACCAACCTGCATCTCCGGAAAAATAATACTGTTCAGTTATCTCTTCCTTGCAGTCCTGCTGTACAATTACTACACGGCCGTGATGGTTTCAGATCTTTTAAGCCATCCCCCGCCGCCGTTCCAAAACATTCAGCAGGTCACCAAAACCGGTATCCGTTTATCCAACGAAAACAATTCTCTCATCAAAAGTTTCTTTAATGTAACAACACAAAGTGCAAATAATACAACATAAACACATAAATTAAAAATATATATATTGATAGGAATCGGGAGTTGAGGAATACGACTTGGTCGAGGGAGTTCGGTTGATTAAGGAAGGAACGATCGCGTTTCACGCGCAAACTGACACTGTTTACAGTCTGATTGAGGTGAATCTGGAGTTGAAGGAGATATGCGACTTGAACGAGCTCAGCATCGTAAAGCCCCAAGAGATGTACGTTTTCTTAAAGAAGGGAAGCCAATACAAAGAAATATTCACCATCACGTAATCTGAAACACAATTATATCTAACACAAATTAATTTCATTTCAATTTTAGTTATAGGAAAATGATTGAATTGGGAATTTTTAAGCGCATTTCGTCGAAATGGTTAACGGGTAAACCTGTATGTTTGGCGAATCGCGATATTTTGGTCGTTGGGACTAATAAATGTAAGCCGATTTACATCACGTTTACCTTAGGCTGTTTACTATCAGTTCTGATTTTAATATACGAAATTTGCAAAATGAGAAAACTTAAAGGGTTTAGAAGCGAAGCTGTAGGAAAGCTGTTTAAGAAAGGTTAATATCTTTAGGATTAATTGATAGAAATGTACTACATTTGCACAGTTATTTAATTAAAGTAAATCTATGCATTTTAGTAACACGAATAAAACAATAATAATTGCAATAAATTGCATAAATCGTTAAAAGTATATCAAATGTATAATAAATATTATAAATATCAAATATATTTCCTAAATTATAAATACTCAATATAATTTTAGCTGCAGTTCATTAAGTAAAATAATTTTGTAATCAAATTATTGTTACAATGATGTTTTTTTTCAGCAGCTATGTACAAGGTTTCTTGTACCGAGAACACGTTAAACACCAGCTAGTAATGACTACAAAAAATATTCTTTCGATTTAAAGCTATGTTAATAGTATTAAAAAAATAGTCTTCTCTGAAGAAATGTTACGAGAGGACGCAAAATGTCTTCGAAGCGCATGTTAGAAGTGGTTTGAATATTAAGTCTCTCCATCGTTCATGTCGTTTACAATGAGAAGAATTTGAGGAAAGCGGATGGTGGGACCGGACTGGGAGGAGACACGCGTCCGGCTTCCTCGATTCTGGCCCTAAATTCTGGGCTTTGGTCGGCGATGCAAGGGTGTCCCGAGGACTTCCAAAACAAACAGCAGCAGTAGCGACAAAGCGAGAGCATCTCGGCGTACTGCCTCTCCTCGCTCACGCCGTAATTCCTAAAATTAAATTAAAATAATTAAGAGACAAAGTCGAAGAGATTGCGTAGAACCTTTTCAATGCGTGATATACGTCCTTCCACTCGCTCTTGTTTAATTTGGCTTTGATGGTGTCGATCTGATGAGGCGTGAAATGGAACCTCGTCAATTCCCTCCAAACGCGCTTCTCGTTAACGATGGCAGTCAATTCATCGCATACCTCCGAAGCGGAGATCAAATCCTTATGGTCCGAAAGTCTGAGTACTACCTCTCTGATGCATTCCTCGGGCAGCTGTAGGAACTGTGGCCGTGAACCCGGTAAAGGTTCGATGATTTTAAAGTTGCTCGCGTTGTTTTGGATGCGTTTTATTGTCAGCGAGTGTTGGTTCCAAAGCATCTTCGAGCCAAGAGGTCCTCCCCAGCAGGCGGACTGTTCGGCATTGCTCAGCGCTCGTAATTTTGTGAGCAGTCGTCGCAGCGCTCTGGGGTTGTGTTGGTTGGCAGTGGCATAGTTAGCGACTTCTTCGAGCATCGCCAGAAGGACCTTCTGGGTACATCCGGAAAGGGCGGTCATCTGCTGCCCGACCAAAAGATCGAGCAAAGCACAGATGTAGTTGAATCTTCGAACATCGCGCACGGCGCTTCTGAAGTCCAGCTTCTTAACGACCTCATCCAATTCATTAAATCCTGCGATCTACAATTACAAATTCTATAGATTTCGACATTCCCGGAAGAAATATCGAAACTCTTACCTCTCGTGTGCATTTTATTGTTATGTGGCAATACGGTTGCACGGCCGCACTTTCATTTTTCTCCGATTCCTGCTGCCTGCGAAGAGAAAAATAAACAAACTCGTTACGGCGTGGAAAGGCATGACATTGAGGGCTAAATTTAGATCGATACAAGGGACGGGACGAGGATCGGAATTGCAGCTGGAATGACTGCATTAAATATAGCGAGAAATGCATTTGCTAAACATAAATACGGCCATTTTAATACTGCTACAACCGAGAACAAAGAAATTCACGGCAGACGCGAAATCGATTTGTCGGTAGACTTACTTCAGCAGTTTGCCGTGCTCCAGGACCTTCTTTCTCTCCCATCCTTCGTCCGTCTTCACCCATAGCTCGCCCGGAGATCGCCAATCCTTCGAGATGAAAGGCATTGCTCAGGTGCAACAAAAAACAGCTGATTACGATGTAAACAAACGGCAAGCAGACATAACACAGCTGACGAGACGAACAGCGCGACTCGTGGGTCGCAGGACAAGACTGCGCATATCCAACGTGACTCCCGAGCGCCGCTCCGTATCCACTCCAAAGCGAAATTATTTGCTGCTCGCTTTCCTGCTGTTCTTTCTTCCCCTCCTTTATACTGCACCATTTCACAATTGTAATCCAACATACAGCACATCAACGCAGTCTGAAGACCTGCACCACCGACCATGACTCTCAAGATCATCATCCAGAAAGTTATCCAGAGGATTTGTAAAATGAAAAGAGCTATGAAGAAGTGAGATACACACATGAGTTATAAACGCTTCAACAGCTTCACAAAATATCATAACTTAACAAATATATTTACTTGCAACTGCACTTATTTGCTAAACAATAATAAGCAGTAACCTTCAACAATGCTTCTTCAAATAACTAAATAATAACTAACATTGGATTATACATTTTTTTTGGAAGTACTTAAAACTACAACAATTAACATAGAAACAACACCACATTAAATTATAAACATGTTTAAGAAAGCTGAAACACTAATTTCTTTATGGAATAGTTCTTATTATAATCTATATCACTTTAAAGTTACTTACAGTTTAAACACTTTATTATAAATAATATCAATTATAATTATTATCACTCAGGTTAAGTATTAAGAAAATAGATTTATTTTTTCACAAAAGTTATGTTAGAAAACCTGCAGTTACAAATAAAATTGTTTAATTTAATATTTTAATTAATATACAATGCTTTCAACTTCTTATTTAGTTTATATATATATCACAATTGATATTCGTTTAAATAATTTATGTAATAAAAATAGCTACTTAGAAATCATTTAGCAATAGTAGTAAATTGTCTCAATGTTAAATTTAATAAAAATACTATTGAACATTCCATAATTAACTATAATAAACACAATATTCTTATGCATTTTTTCATCATAGTCTAAATATATTATTTACTAATATTTATTGTATAAATTTATTTGATATTTTCGCAAATTCTATTTAATATATTAGAAAGTGCTCAGATACAAAAAAAAAAACAAATAAAATGATTGAATATAAAATGTAATTAATGTGAAACCTTTAAACTTCCTGATTGACAAACATAATTATAGGATATTTTAAGCAGAAGCTCTACGTGTGACTAAGAATTACAGATGAATAAGTAATGTGTTCTAATTCTACAAATAAAATAAATTAACAAAATATCTACATGCTAATAATAAAAATAGGCTGAGACTTTCAACGGTGTTTTTTTTTAATTACTATAATAGAAGAATATTGAAACATTGATTTGATATAAAATAACTGTACAATATTAATAATGTGCAATTTAAATATTTGCGCAAATTATTTATATTAGAAAGTTTCATAGTCCGGATTCACTATTGTTACGTTTAAAAATTTCAAAACAAACTAAATTTTAATTGAGCAAAAATAAAATAAAAATTACTACACCAAATTATTTTTTAGAAAATTATTAAATTTAGATAAAAAAAATGACAAAATATCAAATTTATATGAATTTTAAGTGCAAAAACCCATTAAATATCTTAAAAAAATGAATAATATAAATTTTAATAGATTGTTCATATAAATTAAATGATAATTATCGGTTTAATATTTTGATAATTTTAGTAGAATAAATAATTCATCCACTATATTAATGCACAGTTTATATTTTTTGTGCATAATTATAAATGTAATACATTTCTATGCTTTATAATCCTTGATTACATTTGCGCAAATCAATGTAACAATTTAATTTCCGCACTATTGTTTGTAGCTCCTTTGTATTATTGTACACTAATTGACGTAAATTAACAAAAAAAGTACTTACTAAGTTTACTAGTTTTCTGACAATGAGAAGCATTGACCTTCAACAATGTCCTTATTAAAGCAGTTAAATGTATATTTTGGAAAAGTAAATATATGATTCACAATTTAATAACAAAAACAACACATTAAATTATATAATACAGACATTAAGATAACAATTTTGTCATGGCTGATGACTATAGCAGTTCATGTCATAAAATAATTGATAAATATTAAATGTGATTTTTTGGTATATTTATTTACAAAATATATTTGATGTCATATAAAATAACTTTACTTTAAAACAAATGTGTCAGTTGTGTTATTGTGAAATATGTCATAAACTGAGGAATCTTATCAAAAATGGAATTAATATTATAATCTTGTTGATATTTATATATGAAACACGTAGTACTGTCAAGTTAATTTGATCAACGTAATTAAATACTTTTTTATCTATACATAATTGAAAATATCTGCAATATTACTATTATCTTTAATACAAAATGTATTTATTTGAACGAGAAGACCTATGTCCAATAGCACTTTGTAACAGTTGATTAATTGATCCTTTAACTCAACCATTAATATTTTATTATATGATTACATTTATTTCACGAAAATTTTATATTTTAACACAAAACTTTTTTTGATGGAAACGGTTGCATTTAATAGAATTTATTGATTTGACAGTTTTATGTGCTTGGAATATATAATTTATGAATTATTTAAATATAAAAAAATTCATTGATTTCGAATTATTAAAAATTAATTTATCAAAATACAAATGTAATTGTAAGATTTATTTATTCATATATTATAAAATAGCAATACTTTGTGCGTCTTTGATACACACTGAATTCACAATAGTACAATTTTTTTATACATAAATAATCAGATTATTTTGCTCTATAAAGTCAAGTTTCTATTTGTATTGTTTATTTTTATGCGATAATAAAGTCCTCGATTAGTCCACTTTTAAACAGAATTTTGTATTTGTATTTAAGTAAGTTAACTATTTTAATATTTTCTGGATAAATACGAATAATATGTTGCTAATAAATATATAAAATGCAAACCAAAATTGATCGTGCGTTATTGCATGGTAGATTTATTGCAGTGAACTGTAAAGGATTCATTGGATAATTCACAAATAATCAGTCTGGAACGGAAGAGAAAGTGTTAATGTGTTTAGGATTGGAGAAATTTTATATAAAGAAATGAGAGAAACAAGCAAAATAATATAAACTTTAATTTACTTTTCTTTTTTTCTGATTTATGTGATACAGGTGGAAAGATCTAAGCTCAATAGACTTTTGTTGTAGTTGATAATAAATTATTATATTCTCACTTTAATGTTTTCAATTGTTTCTATAATTATTGAAAGATATATTGTTGTTGTTGTTATTATTCTTAAATCTATTTTTTGGGATTTTGTAAAGTCATTTAATTATTGCAAATATTATTATTTTTAATTATTACATCACTTTAACAGTGTATTAAGGAAATATCATTTAAAAATAGTTAATTTTGAAGCTCAAAACTATTCTAAATATAAACCACAGTATCAAATAAAATGCTGAAAAATGGCGAAAATTGATTTAAATCTTGTACAGTTAAAAACATCTATTAAAATAAAAAAATTGGAATTGAATCTCCATTTATATATGGACTTGGAGCAGTGTTTCTCAACCTATGGGTCGCGGTCTAACATCGGATCATGTAAAATGTTTAACGAATTTTGAAATGAAAGCTTGTGTCAACTGTTGAAATGCTCTTAACAATTGGGTTGCAGTATAACTATAAAAAAATATGTGACAAAAGTGTTAAAAATGTTTATCTGGAGTGTCGAATAAAACGATTTTGAATAGCACGGAACTAATTAACCGTGTTATTCAAGTATTTGCAAGTATATGTTATCTAAAATATATTTGTTTTAACTTAATTTTACATATATTATCATTACAGATTTTTGTACATAATTTAGTTTTTTTTTTCGTCTAAAGACCAATGTGTGCATGACGGAACACATAAATGTTTTTTTTTACTAATTATTACAACATTTTTATTATGTAATGAGTAAACATCATTTAGTAAATACATCAATTAAAATCTTGAATAAATAATTGAATTTATCAATTAAATTCGTATAATTATTTTCGAAAGGTAATTGAAAAACGTAATTAGTTATTTTCCTTAATTACTCAATTACAAAACTACATTGTTGTGTGAGCGGTGTGTGTGTGCAATGCGGAAATAATCCGAACACGGTAAATCGAATGCATCTTTCGGTTATAATTAAATACCTAATTGAATTTAAATGAACAATGTCAATTGTGGGTATTTTAATTGAATCATCAATTAATTGATTTCAACTTTTACCGTCCGCAGCTTTTGTACGAAATACTTTTTTCTCTCTATCCGCCATTATTTTCGATTAATTTATTCCGGCAAACAATTTAATTTGAAAATTGTTGCGTGCATCGGCACATTGTATGTAACGCATTCTCCATGGTAACCGTGCCATCAACGATACAAACAGAACCTCACTTGTACTCGAATGTTCTTTCACGAGTGACAACAACAAACCCACGTTTCGAGATGCAGTTAAAATATTTGCAGAACATTTTAGAAGCACAGGTAATTACTTTAATCCATAAGTTTACTTTATGTTTTGTTTTGCTGTTTGTTTTATACTTCTTTTTTTGTAAACATATATTTACAAAATTCGTACCCGTAAGGAAACGTTTTACATAAATTACATAATAGATATATTCACAATTATATGAATTAATTCTTATCATTACTGTAAAATTTATAACTTACATAATAATATATTTATGTGCACTATTCATATTAGTTGGTGTAATAAACTGTCAACGTGGCATACGTCATGCATAAATTACAGAAAATTATTTTATCGATATTACAATTGGTTTAAACTCAATTTACTTATAATTAATGAAATAAATTATTAGTACATTCAACATTCCTATAATGCGGTTTTCATATAACGCGGAGCAAAAATTGCGACAGTCTCCCAGGAGGAATTGATGGAATTAATTGATACATCTTACTCAAATACATATGTTGACAAAAATTTGGATTATAAATGAGTTGACAACTTTATTTTGAATCATGTGAAGAGGGAACTAGATTTGTGTAAAGAATTAGAATGAAGTTTCAAATTTACACGATATGAATTGTACTAATTCTTACTTTCCTATAACGCAATTTCTATATTGCGTCATAGCAATTAATTGCAATATAGAAGGTTTGACTGTAATATGTTATTTCAGTTAGGAGGTTTCCCTCATTATAGTTCATTGGAAATGAATATCTTAAATAAATTATTCTTTCTAATGGAATTTTATACTAATTTGTACAGAGAAATATGTCAACTACATAATGGATGTCAACCTACATACATTTCATTTATATTATTATACGTAGTTAACAAAAAATATATGTATTTATTTATCCATAAAGTATTTTAAATACTGAAACAATTTTGCATATTTTTATTGCGTATTCTCTCTGGTATTTAAAAAAAGTATATACCCGCATTTTCGTTTCCTGCACTGCACTTAATGCACTATAAATACGTTTCTATTTAAAATTACCGTATTACTCACCAATTCTATTGAATCTATATTTAGAAAATATTTCTATTGAAAAATTCCTGTAGGTTTATTTTCCACTTTTATCGCACTTATTTCCTTCTTTCTTAAAGAACAACAAATAAAACATGTTATTTTTTTAATTATTTTTGTATTATTACAGTTGCATTAAAATGCGTATAATTTTCATATACATTTTGTAATAAATTAGTGATTTGTTCACATAAGTTAAGTAAGAAATTAAAAAATAAATAACTAATTTTATTTCTATACGAAAATTTACAAAAGAAAACTAAATAAATAATCTACAAATGGTTATAAGGACGATCTAACTTTATTTAAAAATAAATGCCATAGAAGTTAAACAACTTATTTTATTGAAACAATAAATTTTCCTAATTTAAGGATTTTTTTTATATAGCAATAACTCGCATAGTGCGGCTTCGAATACTTTATAGACTAGTTTGAAAATTTCAAAGCATACTTAAAAATGAATTTTTAAATGATCATAAATAAAAAATCATGTTTATCGTTATTACAGAAACCCATAAAATAGTATTTTTTATTTAGTTTTATTGAATTATATATTAATTCCTTTAAACAATTTAATAGTTGCGAGAATATGTTTTCTCTTTAAAACTGAATTTAAGTGTTAATTTCCTACGTAAATTTTTAGATTAAATTATTCAAATTATAGGGAAAATATTTTCATTAAAATTTTTTAATTAAGAATGTTCAAGTTTACATTTTTAGTGTTAATTGGTTAATTAAACATGAAATTATAATATTATGAGCGTTAATTAATAATTAAACATTTAAACTTTGATAGTAATTTGCTACATAAATTTATAGATTAAATTATTAAAATTGTTGGGAAAACATTTTCATTAATATTGTTTTCTTAAGAATGTTCAAGTTTACATTTTTAGTCGATACAAAATATATAACAATAACTCGCATAGTGCGGCTTCGAACAGTTCGGATTTTTTATAGTTCAGTTTAAAAATTTCAAAACAAACTTAAATGAAAAATAAATTTAAAATATATAAGTACACAAAATTATTTATAAATGTTCATACAAAAAAAATCATTTTTATCATGTTTATCATTATTACAGAAATCCATAAAATTGTATTAATAATAATAATGTTTATTACATCAGTCGTACAAAAAAACATATAAAGAAATAAAAAGAACAAAATAAATATATATAATTTCAAAACAGTCACTTGATACAAATTGACCATAAATTCTGCCCCAAAATTGTTTTATTTATTTAGTTTTAATGAATTATATATTAATTTCTTTAAACAATTTTATAGTTACGAGAATATGTTTTCTCTTTAATACCGAATGTTAGTATTAATTGGTTAATTAAACACATGAAATATAATACATAATTTTATGAGCATTAATGCGATTCTAATTAATAATTAAACATTGAAACTTTGCTAGTAATTTACTGAGTAAATTTATAGTTTTAATTATTCAAATGATTAGGAAAGCATTTTCATATTCCATTTAATCAATAAGTTTACAAATTTGTGACCTTGCGCATCCACCTTAACTATTATTTAATATTAATAACATTATTATTGTCTAATTAGTAATTTTTGTACGAATGTTCTTGTATTCAGTAATTTTAATGTTCAACACTATAATAAGAACATATTCTATATAAAGATTAAAAGTTTCAATTTTTTTTACTATTCTATTTTTTGAGAAATATATTGAATTTGCTCAATTTAAAAAAAATGTTATACAAAAATTCTATAGTAAGGTCTATAATAAATGGTATAGTATTATAATAGTTATAACTTAAAGTATTCTGATAGATTTATTTTATTTTTGTTTACTTTCTTTGTTTTGTATAAAAAAAAATTATTATGTCATAGTATATTTAATTTACAATCTTATTCCTGCAAATATTAATTAAATCTAATGGCAGTAGACATTTGTCGACTTGGCTGAACCACATTCATTGTACGGTCCATCTGTGATGAACGATGGTCTTGCAAGCACCGAGAGGGCTCACAAAGGGCCTGGTTTGACCAGGATTCGAACTGGCGCCCACGGATTCGTGGGTACGGCGGAAATATAGATTATACATAATTAATACCAATACTTAACACTACACATTGAGATATTGATTAGTTTCAACATATAATTATGCAACAATCATATCTACATTATATATTTGGTTACGCAATCAATTGCGCATCTGAATGTAAATACGTTCGTATAGATGTTACACAGATCGACAAGAAATATGTTATTATAAAAAATAATTTAATGTTTTACGTGCATCAGTATAAATAACCAATTATTAATAAACGTGATTTTAAATATTTTAGTCAATAAATCAAAGTTGTTTATTTATAATCACGTTTGATAGCCATCAGAGTATAAGCAGATATTCAGTAAAAATGAAATTCATTTATATCTTTCGCCGCAAAAATAAATATTCAAAAAAACGGTAAATAGCAGATGGCAAATATTTACATTGCTCATTTTGACAGCATAACAGATCGACTCCATAATGTCAATATAATGGTTTTCATATACTAAAACAAGCAAATATAAATTAATTTGATGATTAAAAATATAATTTCAGTTAATCATGAATAAAAATCCTCTTCCATAATTTATATCTTTATATGTTTGGTTTTCATACTTCTTGTACAGTAAGATTGTATTTAGAGCTTAGGATGCATTCCTAGATGACAAGCGCTAAATAAAATTGCTTTATATCGAATCAGCGTTAATCGAGAAAGCACTAAACGAGGTCTTAATATTTTGTTATAGTTATGTATAGGAAAAAAAGTAGCTACTTATAAATTGTCATGTTAAAAAAATGTACAGTTTTAGTTTGGTATTTTTTTTGAAATTATTAATATATAGTAATATTTAATTTGATGAAATAATTTAGCTGTATGTTGAATATATTAATTTTATAAATTACAGTATACATAATTTACAACAAAAAAACGGGACCAGTGTTGAATAGCTAACTGTATAATAGTTAAATTAATTGTAATAACTCATTTTACGTTATATGTTATGCTTTATCAATTATGTAATGTATTGTCATTTACTTGTTCCTATTCTTTAAGAGTGATTTGATTGATTACAACTGTGTTTTTAGTTAATTGAAATATGAGTATTTTAAAAATTTGTTTTGTTTTTTGCTATTTTGTAGGAAGGCGAATATAAGATTGTTTCGTTGGTCTGGTCTTCAAATAATAAGAAGCTAGCTGTCGCAACTTCGGAGCGACAAGTGATTCTGTTCGACGATGAGGGTGAAAGACGCGACAGGTTTTCGACGAAGCCAGCTGACTCGGAAGCGGGAAAGAAATCGTACGTTATTAAAGGGCTCGCCTTCAGCCCCGACTCTATAAAACTGGCCGTCGCGCAGAGCGACAACATCGTCTACGTTTATAAAATCGGTGAAAACTGGGGCGAAAAGAAGGTGATAAAAACAGAGATAGAACAGAGGGTGGGAAGTAAAAATAAACTGAACTGAAAAAAAAACAAAGAAAGTACGGGGGAAGTGGAAGAGAAAAGAAACAGATGAACAAAAAAAAAAGTAAGAAAGAAGTTTTAGGGCCTCGTAAAAAGCTAAAGTATTTTCCAGGCGATTTGCAACAAATTCCCGCAGCCATCGCCGGTCACTACCATCGTATGGTTATCAACCGGTCCGATTATCTGCGGCCTCCTGGATGGTAAAGTTCGAGCCTTGCAGCCCAAATCTAATAAATCGCACACTCTGTATGGAAGCGAAAGCTTAGTGGTCTCGCTGGTTCCTAATTCCATTGGAACCGGTTTCATCTCCGGACACGTGGATTGTTCGGTTATCAGGTTTTTCGTAACCGAGAGGAACGAGGAGGACGAGCCCCAAGGGAGGATCCTCACGCACTCCGTTCCACCTTACGCCCTTGCTTGGGTACAGAACTTCGTATTCGCGGCCGGATGCGATAAGAGGATTGTAGTTTATAACAACAGCGGGAGAATCGTCAAACAGTTCGATTACACAAAAGATCAAAGCGAATTTGAATTTACTGCTGCCTGTTCTAGCCCCAGCGGACAGGTAACATTCAAATTTAATGGATGAATTAAAATCCTTTACCACTTACCTTAATTCAACTACTACCTACTTAATAATTGACATTTTGTATTAGCTTCACAAATACTGCTATATTAGTCCTGAGAACTACATAATACTTGAAATACAGCAATTCCCTGATTAACTTTCAATTAGATACAAGATAAAGTGCTAATAATCTTTTATACCAAAAACTATATTTGCTTGAATATCAATGTTATGTTGTAACAATTCTTGAAGTTTATTGTTGCGAAGATAATAGCATTGATTAAGTTAAGTTAATTATTACTTTTTTCATATATATAAAAATTACTTCCTTCAAAGCTATTTCGATGTTGGTTCAATAACAATACATTAACTTACTTAATTATAATAATATTTTTAGGCGGTTTCAATTGGGAGTTATGACAAATTGCGAGTTTTTGCTTGGAATCCTGCCGTTTCCGTTTGGGAAGAATCGCCTACAAAGACAATTGAAAACATGTACTCAGTTACGGCATTATCGTGGAAGAATGATGGCTCGAAGTTGGCTTGTGGTTCTTACAATGGTTGTGTTTTCCTCTTCGAATCCGTCCTAAAGAGGACTGTGTGGAAAGATAAGTTGGAGATAACTTACGTTGGTCCCAGTCAGGTGTTGGTTAGAAGCCTCGAAGATGAAAGCAAGAGTTTAGTCTTGAAGTCTGATTACGGCAAAGAAATCGAAGATCTGAAAGTAATGGGCAGAGATAATTTCATTGTTGCCAGGACAAGAGGAACTCTATTAGTAGCTGATATAATAAGGAATTTAATGAGTGAAGTGAGTATTATAGATATTATTGTTATTTGTATTGAAATACTTTTTTAGGTTTCGTGGAATAATTCAGGTAAAAATGAGAAGTTCTATTTTGAAAATCAGTCGGCGTGTTTGGTGTTTAATGCGGGTGAGCTGAGTCTAATAGAGTACGGATGTAACGAGGTCCTGGCTTCGGTTCGAACGGAATTCGCGAATCCTCATTTAATCAGCGTGCGTTTGAACGAGCGCACAGCAACCTCGGATAACAAAAAGCTGGCCTATCTGCTGGATTTGAAAACTATTTGCATTATCGATCTGGTTTATAACGTGGGCATCTCACAGATTAACCACGAATCGAAAATTGATTGGCTCGAGCTGAACGAAACGTGTCATAAGCTTCTCTTCAGGGATATCAAGCAGAGGTGCTGAAGACGATAATATTAATTCAAAGATTCGTTATTTTTTCTTTTCCAAATAATTTCAGGTTGTTGCTGGTCGACGTAACAAGTGGGAGTAAGGCGTGCATTTATAGCGACGTGACCTTCGTGCAATGGGTCGAGAGTAGCGATGTTGCGATTGCACAGTCTGGCACAACTTTGGCCGTTTGGTATAATATCGATCTGCCGGAGAGACCAACGATTCTAAATGTTAAAGGTGAAGTTGTGGATATCGTTCGGTATAATGGGAAGACGGAAGTTTGCTCGATCGATGGAAACGCGAGTTTAACTTTTGATCTGGATGAGGGACTGGTCGAGTTTGGTACCGCGATCCATGACAACGATTACGGAAGGGCCGTTCTCTTCTTGGAATCTATAGGGACGTCCGCTGAGGCCGAGGCAATGTGGTGCAACTTGACTAACATTGCTATAAAGCAACATAATCTCAATTTGATTGATCGTTGCTACGCGGCTTTAGGGAATATTTCGAAGGTCTTCTGCATTCAGAATATAAATGATGAAATGGAGAACGGCGAGGACTACGATCAAAATGTTTGGGCTAAGTTGTCCGTTATTAATGGCGATCTGGAAACTGCTGAAAATATTTACTTAGAGCAGGGAGATTTGGAAGCTGCTCTCAATATGTACAAGAAACTTCATAAATGGGAAGATGCTATTAGGTAAGCTGAAAATACTACATATTTGACAACGTATCTATTTATTAAATTAAATTTTTGGCTAATTTAACAAGTAACTTGGCAGATATTGAATTTTATTTATACAATTACTTGTATTATATCTATAATGATAATGAATGTTTGAAGTACTAGTGTCTACAAACAATTCTAGTTTTATAGCGACTTACTGCATTTTTGGCGTAAATATTATAAAACTATTAAAACTTTTTATAGGATTGCACAAAAGAGAGGATATAATAAACTTCAGGAGTTACGAGACGAATACATGAGTTTGCTGTTGAAGACGGGTCAATTTGAAAAAGCTGGTCAAAGTTTAGAATCGGATGGGGATTATGATAGAGCGTTGGCGATGTATATGAAATCGAACCGTTTAGTAAAAGTAGCCAATTTACTGCTATCTCATTCGGATTTAATGGAGGATCATAATCTGGTGAGCAGCGTTTTGAAGAAGCTCATCAAACAGGAACTTTACGAGCCGGCCGCTGAGATTTACGTGAAGTACGATAAACCGGATATAGCGATGGAGTGTTATAGAAAAGGTAAATTGTTTCATACTGGAGATTTTATAACATGAATGTGCTGAATGCGACTACGTGCGGTGCTTTAGGAAAAGTTTGGAATAAAGCTGTTGATTTGGCGAGGGTGATAAGTCCGGATCAGGTAATTACTTTAGAGGAAGAATGGGGAGATTATCTCGTGGAAAGTAAACAAACGGATGCTGCTATTAGCCATTATATCGAGGCTGGATGCAGCCTGAAAGCATTGGACGCCGCCATCATTGCTAGACAATGGAAAAAGGCGATACACATCATTCAGGTCGTCGAGGAACACGAAAGCCTGAACAAGTACTACTCCATTATTGGCCAACATCTCGCAGACACAAAAGTAATATATTTTAATTTTCAATTATATTATTTGCAAACAATATAATTGTTAATAATAATTAACAATTTTTAAAAGTAATTATATAAAATATATTTTCTTTTTTATTTAGGACTTTACTACCGCCGAAAATATGTATATGAAAGCAAAATTATATAAAGAAGCAGTAGATATGTACAATAACAGCGGTCAATGGGAAAAAGCTCATTTAATAGCTTCACAGTATTTGGATAAAGATGAAGTGGGTGATATGTACATGAAGCAAGCTGAAAAATTGGAAACTGAAGGAAAATTCCGAGAGGCTGAAAAGTTATACTTGGCCGTTGACTCTCCTGATTTAGCAATAACCATGTACAAACGCAACGAACAATACGATAATATGGTAATCATTAATTCAGTTTACTAATACAATAATTGATATACATTTTATTTGAAGATTCGATTGGTGGAATTGTATCATCCGGATTTGTTACCAACCACCCACATGCATTTAGCACAACAGATGGAATCTCAAGGCAAGCACCGGGCAGCAGAAATTCACTACTTAGCTGTTGGAGAATGGAAAGCAGCCATGAACATGTATAGAACTTTAAATATGTGGGAAGAAGCTTACAGAGTAGCAAAACAGAACGGTGGAACTGTAGCTGCTAACCAAGTAGCATTCCTTTGGGCCCGCACTTTACCAATAGACTCAGCTATCAAACTTCTCACAAAATTTGGTATTCTAGAATCTGGTGTAGATTACGCATGTGAAACTTACCAATACGATTTTGCGTTCCAACTTTGTAAAAATCTACCATCGAAGGTATTAAATATACTTATTAATCAATAATTAAAACTAATACGTTATAGTTTACAGAAAAACGAAGTACATTATAACTATGCTATGTCTCTAGAAGATGATGGAAAGTTTAATGAAGCTGAAACCGAATTTATATTAGCAGGAAAACCGAAAGAGGCAGTAATGATGTACACTCATGCAAGTGATTGGCAAAGCGCAATTAGAGTAGCTGAAACTCACGTTCCTGAAGCTGTTTTAGAAGTGTTGAAAACGCAGGCAGTACAATCGTTTGCTCAAAAGAACTTTTCAGAGTTTGAGTCATTGCTGTTGAGAGCTCAAGCTCCTGAATTGATCGTTCAGAATTATAAATCGAACGAGATGTGGTTGGATGCTTTACGCGTCTGTAAAGAATATTTACCAAATCTGCTCCCTGCACTTCAAACTGAATATAATAATAAAACTAAGCAACATAATACCGATAGTAATATTACAATGGAATCTATATTGTCTAAAGCGAATGAATTGGCTTTGGCTGGGCAACATAAGCAAGCTATTGAATGCTTGCTGCAAGTTAGCACTGATATAACTGAACCTGAAATAGTTACTAGAGCTATGCTAAGGGCGGCCGATATGGTTAACAAGTTCCTATTTGGTGGTGAAAGTGAAGATATCATCAAAATATTAGCACCTAGATTGAGAGATATGGGAGAATACAGCTCTGCCGCTCAACTGTTCATCAGCGCTGATTTGGTGAAAGACGCCGTTGATTGCTTTATCATAATTGAAGATTGGAAGAATGCGAAGAAAATCGCGAAAGAATTGGATCCTTCTTTGATGAATTACATCGAAGGCAAATATAAAGATAGATTAACTAAAGAAGGGAATATAGAACAATTGGCCGATGTTGGTAATATACCATAGCATACGTATTTATTATAAAACATGTAAAACTTTGTATTTGTTTGATGTGTTACAGATATTATGGGGGCTTTGGATTTGCTAGCAGAACAAGGTCAGTGGGTGAGGTGTATCGAGAAGGCAAAAACTTTTGGGGGTGTCGTACTGTACAAATACGTGGCTCAGTATGCCTCACAATTGTTGAGGGATGGATTTACCCTCGAAGCACTCAGTTTATTTTTATCACACAGCGCGCCGCCGACGCCACAAAATTTCAATATTTACAATCGGATTGCGGCCAATATCTTCTCAATGCCCAACATTTCTGGTCCAGATCACTACAACACGTGGGTACAGCTTAGGCAAATGCTTCTAGAATTGGTAAGCAACTGTTTGTTCTAAATGAAAATAGACAGGTTCCTTGGACATTTGTCTATGTTTGCCCATTTATTACTAAAATAATAACAGATAATTAATATTACTGTAAACTTTAAATAATATAAATAGGCTAATTAGGTAATAAAGCTCAAATATTAAGAAAGCAGCATAAAAGGGTGTGAAACACTAAATTTACATTATTTGAGTGGTCATAACTATAAATATCAACAGGGTAGGCTTTTCCGTTTGATTAAACAGCATAAGTTTATCAATAAACGCCCTTTTGGATGGGAATTCTAGGTACTAGCACTAATACTATCCCACTCATTAAAGCTCGTTAAATTGCCTTTGGTTTGGTAGGATCAACTGCTGAAGGTGCTACTCACTTAATTATTCTCCGTGAGATTCCACAAGATCTTTTAATTATATAACTTTACGTATAGTAAAGTGTATTTCTCCTACAGCGAACTTTACACCTAAAAATGTGTTTTCAACTTATATTTGTTCGTAGTATTCATTTTAATATATAAATTAATATTTGCTCATTAATATAATACAATTAATACAATAACACAATTTTACTCTAAAGTTTATACTTTTTAATATAATAATATTTATTTATACTATACATGCACATATATATATTTTTTTCTTAATAAATATAATGGATGTACAATGTTCATTTATTCAGATATATTTTAATATTACATAATTGAGAATTTGAAACATTTTTTAGGTGAACGGAATTGAAGTAGCTCCAAATATTGATATGAAAATCAAGATCCATTTCCAAACGGTTCTATTGATTTCGCATTATTACGGGTTGAGATGCGTTTGCCGGCAGGTGCAGGTGCTGAAAAACATCGGGATGAAGATTTCCGTAGCTCTCCTCCGGTACACGGACATAATTCCAGCGGATAAGGCTTTCTACGAAGCGGGTAATGCGTCGAGAGAGTCGACACGATTTACACAACTCGTTAATATCGGACATGTAATTATTACAGGTATCGATCTGAGGGAGGAAGGTCGAAATTCTGAAGCGTTCGTGTTTTTAAACCATTATTTGGACATATGCGAGGCCATCGAAGATGGCGAGAACCAGCTCATTGATCACACGGATCTGGGTCAGACGGACTTCCCATCCAATGTCCCGATCCCCGAAGAGATGTTCTTGCACGACGAAACCGACGAGCATGATCGCATTAGGGAATGGGTTTTGGCAATCAGCATGGATCAGAAAGTTGATCAGGTAACAACCAACTCGGAAACAATGTGCGAGTGCACATGGTCTGATCTGATTGTTTGTTTCCGGTATTGCAGAATCTGCCGATGGATGAGAGGAGGCTTTACGAATCCAGCTTGGAGGCGGGCCAAAGCCCGTGCATCGTATCCGGTTATCCTGTGAAGAATCCGGCCGTCTCCTTTATGAATTCAAATTACACAGCTAATAAGGATATGTGGTCGAAGCTGACGATGGCTGCTAAAATGTATCCGGAAACCAATATCTCGGATGCCATCACCTTCATTCAGCAGTGGTGCGGAAACAGCACTTTGTTGGATTGAAATGTTGTAATTTATATCCGTGGGATGATTTATTTTTTTGTAGTAAATAAAATGTTGAATCGATCTTTCCCAAAAGGTTACAACTACCACCACACACTTCATTAATCCCGAGAACTGGAAACTCCGTTACACGTCCGTAGCGGAACTATGGCCAATGCATTCTAATTAGATTTGTTGCTTCCTATTCCTGAAGGATTTCATTTAATTAAATATTAATTAAAATTGACACGTCGAGGATTAAATATATTTATACTAACATGCATTTACCTTAATGAACCAAAAAGTACAATTTAAATCTATAAATAATTTAGGATTATTTCATCATTTCAATAATATTAACAATTCTAACGTACACATATTTGAAGGGTTTCAAAGTTGAGATACTCTCAACATTCTAATAAAAACAAAGTGTATATAATGTTTTGTTCATTATCAAATAATGATGTAGAAATTGTATAGTCGAACGAAAAAGGGAATGGTTAAAGTAAAACTTTTAATTAAAGCGAATTGGAGGTGGACGTATTTTCAAGCAGCAGGAACTGATCTCCGCAGATGCAGGTACAGAGGGTCTGCTTTATTTAACATCGTATTCCTTGCATCCGACCGTCATAATGTGGATAACGTCGGGAGTTGTCCGGTTCAGTCTGCAAATGGAATTAAATGATAAATTGCCTCGAATACTAACATCACCTTCATTACATTACATTACAAATTAATTATTGCATTTACTCCCATTAGGACGAATCAAATGGACAAATTATATATTCCAAAAGTAAATAATCGTATTTATGGGCATTAACTAACATTTCTATATTAATAGAAATATTACCATACAAATAATATTAACACTGTTAATGTCCATTTTTCTAAAACTATAATGTAATATATAAACGTGGACAATTATGAAATTAATATTTATTTCCACAAATTCATATATCAAATAATACTAAATAAAACGTAGCAAATACAAAATATACATAAAACTTCCTATTTATCTAATGTTAAATAAAATATTAAAAACAATAATATTAAAATACTATAAGTTTAGAGTAAAAAAAATGCACGTTTTGTATTTATATTATAGAATTATATACTGTATACTAAATAAATACTAAAATATAAATAGTAATTATATATTTATTGTGAATGAAAAAAAAAATTGCAAAAACGATGAAACATAAAATCCAATTAAAAATGTAAAACAGATTGTAAGAAGAAAATACAAATTTATGCTAAAAATAAAGAAAATATTATGATACGCAATTGAAGAAAACAGGATAATGAAACAGCATCGGTATTTCCCTTGGCGCCGTCTCTGACAAATACCGCAGGGATTGCAGACTGGAAATAAAGGCATGATTTGTAAACATGTATAAATAAATACATTATATTTATAAATTTTTTAGTTTCCATTAACATACAATAATGAAGAAACCTAGAAAAATTATACAAAAACCAAAACAAAAATATCATTAATTAAAAAAAAACGTTTTATTTTAATTTTGTTTAGACTGTTAGAGATTTATAATTAAATTTGTTTATAATCATAATCATTTTTTTAGTATTTTGTAATTACATTTGTAGACTTCAATTATATTGGATTCAGATTAAATTCGTTTGAAAAAAAGCAACTTTGTATTCAATAAAAACAATTAATTGCTCGTAGATAATTTTAGTATATTTCTTCATTTTTAGGAATCATCATATTTTTTGACACAATATAATCAAAATAAATTAGTAACGTTTCTTTTTTGATTATAAAGATATCAAAAAAGAAACATTTTTGTTAAAAGTATTGGATCATTTTAATTAGATTTAAGAACCACCAAGAACCAATGAAATATAGAAATAGATTATTCCATCAATAAAAAGCTTTATTATAGAGATTTTTAATGTGCACAGTTTCCTTTTGTTAATTACTTCAAAACCTTGAGTTAAAAAAATAAATCAATTATAATATAAACATAATTGTTAAACATTATTGTTCAATTTCCAAAATGAGTTTTTAATTACTAAATTTCACATTGTCATACAGAGTTATTATTTTTCAATTAAGTCAAATAACAAAAAAATAAAAATAAATACACAAGAAATAAATTACGCTGTGGGTTATGAAATTAATTTATTACTTGAAAAACTTTCTTCAGCTCCGAAACTTTAACAACACTTAAGAGAGTTCATGTAAAATATTATGAGCCACAGTATAACTTCCATCCTAGAAGACAAGAAACAAGCTAAGCCCTACTGTTGTTTATCGATTGGTCTGAAGATGACTGCCCTACGCGATGAGAGGTAATGTACCTTGATGAACGGTCTCAATACACCCAATGCAGAAAGCAATTATGGATACGTGCACAGCAAATTTATTTTACGTTGACGACAAAAAATAAAATAAAAGACAATAACAATTACTTCCGCCCTCGAGTCTATGCAAATTTGATTAGGTCTCCCATCGATTCAATTTGGCCGTAAACAAGAACAAACCCGTGTTTAGGCTAGATAAGTGGAAATGATCAGAAGCTGATCCGATTATCGTGCATTATCCCACATCTAAATATACGTGCTGTGTTCTTCAAATTTCCGATCAAGTCTTTATAGTTACAATACGCAGTGGAATCAAATCGATTACACAGAGGTTATGATAAACATAAATATTGAAAAAAAACGGATCACAATTACTTTTCTACTAAAGCTTTAAAAGGATTTATCTAAGCGCACGGGTTTATATCAAGTGTATTTTTTTGGTGACTAGGTTTCAACTAAATACGTTGTTTATACTTTTATCCTGTTTATGGATTCAACTCGTAAATAATGCATGGGATAAAATAAATGTCTAGTGTTTTATACACAGAAAAACTATTACACGATCACGGTTTCAAACAGCAAACTATACGAATTAAAATAACCACATATTTCCTTCTACAATTGAATGCTTCTAGATGAATGTTTCTAATTATATGAAAATATTCACAGAATTATGCATTAATGCATGAATAAAAATTTCATGAAAGTTAAGCAACGTGAATTTTTAATAGTATTTGATTAGCATTAGGACTAATAGACTAATAGATTATAGAAACGAATTGCTGGAATAGAAAGATGAAGTACGAAATACGTATATATTTAGATCAATACAGTCTTTTTTTTCTAAATTGTTAATAACATCGCATAATGCGGTTTCAATCAGTGCGGATTCAGTATAGTACGGTTTCCAAATTTCAAAATAAACTAAATTTTAATTTGTCTCTGTTGACTTTTATGCATATTTAAAGTTCTCGATTAGTCCGGTTTTTTTTAGATCAATTAATCAGTTTACAGTTGAAATAATCTAGCTTTACTAATTGAATCACAAAGCTCTCTAATCGTTCCGGTTATCTTTTATAATTCGTTATTGATTTTGACGAATGTTAGCGGCGTTTCAATTCCTATCATTTCTATCACTTGAATGCTCCTCTTCTCTAATGGATCTAATTTCGTAATTCTGCCGACAAAGATGTAATATCCTAGAGTTATTTAATCTATTTTAGTTTTCAGTAAAAACATAGATATTTAAATCATCTTAAAATTCAGTATATTTTTTTTTATATTTGCAACTGTTTAAAGAGTTCAGGTGCATTTGAATTATGTTTAGAGAGTAAATTTGGATAGTTTAAAAAAATGAGTAGTATGCAGACTTTTTGCATCTAATTAAATTTGTTAGTTAAATATTTTATAAACATTTGTTTAAAGTAACTGTAACTGTAAACTCCATTAAACGCATTTTTTTTATTGAAATGAAAAAACACATAGTTACTTTAATAGTTGATAAATATAAAATTGGGCAGTCTAAAGCAGTGTTTCTTAACATATAGGTCGCGAAATGACGTCTGTCGCCAAGTGTCAAAGCCAGAAACTGGATAAAAACTCTTGATAATTGAGTCTGAGCTTAATTAAAAACAAATATAATAGAGAAGATGAGAAATTCTGATTAAAAGTATACTGATGTTAGAAAGAGTTAAGATAGATTAGTTTCACTTGAGGTAGGATAACATAGTCAATGACAGGTCAAAATAGATTAAGTTTTATTATCTAAGAAATGCTCAAGTGAGTAATGATTAAATACAAATATCAATTAAAAATAAGTTTAATTCAATAATTATATAATTAACGTTGAAAACCTAATCAGAAATATGTAACATGAGTAATCACATTACAGTCCTTCCTTCTAATATTCATTTTAATGTACTAAAATAAGAAGTTGATGATTTAGAAAAAAAGTCATTAGTTTTGATTTTTCTATGTTTTCATGAAAAAATATTTACATGAAATTTATTTTTTTGTTACTAAAATACTGTTTTGAATATAAAATGCGGCGTTACCATAAGTAAATAAGAAATGTACATGAATCACCCTGTATATAGTGTAGCATACAAACCTGCGAGTAATTCAATCCAGAGGTTCAATCCGGCTGCTTTGCATATCTTAATAAGGAAAGAAAAAGTCGATGTTTGAGATGTGGTTTCTTGTATGGACATTTTATTAACATAAATAACAAATAGTTAACAAAAAAAGAAAAAACTACATATCTGTAGTCCTATCGAGAAAAAAAAGCACATGCACAATAAATGCAGATCTGATATACACTGCTTCCATATAATATATATATTTATATTTATTTATAATTAGTTTTATATCATCATCTTGTTAGTATATATTCATATTTTTTTGTTTATATAATTATAGTATTCGTGGACATTCAATAATACATTTACATCGGGATCGGTAGTATATTAAAAATGAAATAGAAGAGTTAGAAAAAAAAACATGGGTATATAAAACACAATGTAGATATGAATGACATCGAGAAGCGCGTCCAAATGGGACGGTTCTATCATACGCACATCGAACAAGTATATTCACCAATCCATTCAGTAATTTTCCATATATATTAAGTAGAATAACATTTAGTAAAACAAGGGGCATAGTTACACGAATATGAAGGATGTATTCATATGTATAAAGAGATATGGTGTATTCCGTTTAATTAACGGGTGAGGGTAGAAAACCCCGGTCACGCAAAAGGTAAAACGCGGCTGGATAATTTATAAAATATTGACTTATTGAGCAAATTGGTTTTACAAGGTTTCACCCCCTTTGCAACGAAACTCAAGAAATGCGCACACGTAAAACACACGACCCTTATCTCTCTCACTTTCTTTTTACCTAAGGGTGAAAGCGGCTAAATCCGATAACTAGAATAGAACGCAAATTAATTTTTACAATAAAAAAACACACATTAGTTATAGCATTAAAGTATAGAAGAACTTAAGAAATAATAAATGTAAGGGCGCGTCGAGAGTATAAATTAATTAATGTATATCATATATGTACAAAAAAAGGAAATAAAATTAATAAAAAAATAATTTTGGTTTCATCTTCTCTCTTCAATTCGCTTTAGACGATGGCACTTAGGAGCTGCTGGTACTCCTCTTCAGTATAGAAGTCCTCGCTGAAATTAAATGAATCACATCTATTAATTAAGAATTTCCAATTACAAATATAGCTTCTCCATGTTTCCATTTTATTTATTAGTTAAAGATATATTGCATTGATATAACTCAGTAGTTGTATAATGAGTGCGGTACACATTTTGTTACAACATTCAATGGTATTAAGGAGGATCAAGTTGGACATTAATTAATTTCTCTTATTTGAGGATTTGGAGAACAGCTGTTAGACTAGAAATTTGCTCACCATTCAGATCTTCGAAGGTAATATGATTTATTATTCGAGTATTGTGGGAGCAGTTAGGAAATATTTGTGATTTGAATTATTATAACTTTCATATTAAATAACTTACATCATCCATATTAACATTGAGTAGTAAATATGTATGTGACGATTTTTAAAAAAGAATATTTTATTACGGTAATTATAAATTAAATAAATTATACGAACTATTTCAAACTTCTAGTATATTTTGAAACTAATATTTATTGAAAATATTATATAGAATATGTTATATAATATAAAAATCCAACGAATTAACAAAATATTTTTTTATTTAGATATTTGATTCGACTATTTTGGAGATTTATATGATAATTTAATGAATACCTAGGGCCTTTTGAATATTTCGTATTACATAAATAATATTAGTATTTTCTTTTATGATGTATCAGCTTCATAATATATATCAGCGTTTCTCAGCTTGTGCGACCCAACATATTTGTTTGTAGATGTACTGTGACATCTTGCTTGCAGTCTTTTTACCAGTTTGACACATGTTATTTCGCAACCCATATGTTGAGAACCGCCGATATGATTACAACATTCTGAACATATAAAAACTTTAGATGAAAAAATAGTTTCTAAACTTCAACAGTAATAATTAATGTCCCAGATCAAAATATTACAGATTACATTAAATATTTTTTTGTTAATAAAATGTTCAGATATTTGTTGATCAGAAATCATGAATGCAATTAAATATTTGTTTTTGTTGTAATGATCAAATTGTCACGGTCAAAAATACCACTCTATCATTTCAGTTTTTCTTTATCATTACTACGTTTTTTGTGTATTGAAAAATTAATTTATGAAATAAAATTAATTAATTAATTATTAAAAATAAGAAACAAACCGACAAAATGATCCTTTTCAAGTAACTACAGTACTTCCCCGTAAATCTATCATATTTGGTAATTATTGTGTTTAAATCTGTTGTTTGAAGACACATATTATGGCACAGTTGGAAATTGATTGAAAAGTCTTCTAAAAATTTAAAGACAAAGATAGTATAAGGGATACCAAATAAATGTAATTGTAGCTGTCAGTTAATTTACTCCGATTATATATTAAAATCTAGATTATAATGTACCTCTTATATCAGTTTGTATTATAATGATTATTAATTTGAAATTAATTAATTATTATTGTTATGTAATAATTATGTAAATTGTAAAGATGGTGATGATTATTACCTGTCGGGATTAACGCTGCGTTTCCTTCTCTGCGGGGATATCTCGCTGGTGGCTTCAATGCACAGCAGGACGAGTTTCTTATCACACGAATAGGAGGATTGCTCGAGTAGTCTGGGGCCGCGCAGTGATCCTGCGAGACCAACTTTGTCACGAGAGTCGGCGTGCCAGGCGTCGCAGGATGTGTCGAGGGCGCGCTCCCCATTGACGAGGGCACCATGCCAAGTAGCTTTGTTAGGCCAGGAGAGATCGGTCAACACGTTCTTCCCGCTGAAGGAGAAGATGCGCGGAGGATGAGGGAACGGAGCTCCGTCTCCTTTGAACATCTCCATCCATGAATTGAATAGTATCTCGCCTCGTAGATTGGCAACAGGCAGCTTTCGGTCGGCCTGTCTGACGATGGAATCGACGTTCTGGACACGTGAGGATAGGAAAGCCCTGAAGGTTCCTCTGAGTCCGGCGCGTCTGGATTCTCTGTAGCAGGCATAGTCGGCGCCCCTCACACCGTGCACGTCTCCAGTGTAAGCCTCGTTCAGAGCCGCCATCCTCAGCTGTAATTACAGACCGCACAATTTACAAATCCCGCATACTAAACTCGGTTACCACTCTCTCACCATTTTCGGATACCACTGTTTGCATTTTAACACAGAATTAAGGAGAAAAGAAAATTGTATTAGTTAGTTACACAGACCTATTTTTTATTTCATTCTTTATTTGTATAAATTAATTACATTCTCTAGCAGAAAGACCCTTTTTCTTAAACTCATTCCTAACATGAGATGAACAATGTAAAACATATTTATAGCATTTCAAACAAATATCTGATGGACTTTACGAAATATTGATCATAGAAAAATAAATTAATATAAACAATATCTCGTATAATATAGTGCAAAATTGTTTATAAAGTTCTCATAATTGTTATGTATTTGCAAAATCAAAGACATAGTTCTCTCTTTAAACAAGAATAATCATTCTTAGAAATCATTTAATCAAATACACTAAAGATCATTTAGTATAAAAATATATGATTATTTTTAATTAAGGGGGATATTCCAATATCCCACAAAGCTTAAACGTACTTATAAATATTCCTGTTATGTTATGTTTCAAAGTAACTCGTTTCTAATATTCAGAATACAAGCAAATGAAACAAACCTTAATTAATAAGCCAGACTTCATTTTAATTCAAATCGCTAAAATTAATTAAATAAACAGGAATTTTGGTTAATATCTTTTAGAATTCGTTTTCATGTTTATATACTACACTAAAATTGTAATTAATAACATACAAATCTCTTTAGTTCATAAAATAAGCCTTTATAAACAAAAACTTTTAACAAATTTTTCATTTGTGTGTTTCTAAGAGATATATAAATCTATGCATAACATGAATAACAACAGACATATTTATATATTTTAATTAATTTTAGAAAATATAAAATCTTTTTAAACAATCCTTAGATTATTGAATAAAAAATAATGATTTGTATAAAAATACACTGTATTTATTGATTTTATTTAATGGGTTGTTAATGATTGATGTTTATTTTTAGTAATAGGTATATATCAATAATGATTAACTCTTTCTTATTAGATGTTCTTGCGTTTATACTCTGGAATATAATTAATCTCTAATTTATGTAACAAACTACAAATATAGAACGACTGGTTTATAAAGATTGTTTAAACAGAATTTATTTCCCACTAATTCAATTAATTGCTGAATGTATTGATTTGTTTTAATAAAGAAATAATTGCAGTTAAAAAAAAAGAAAATACAGGTCTGTATTTAATTAATAATTGAATAACTCAAAATAGAGTTGCAATAAATTCTAATATAAATAGTATATTTATATATATTGTTTATTATTTGATTACATTTTTTTTTGATTCATATAAATTATACATATTATATTAATACTTGAAGGTCTAAGCAATTGAATTGTGGATATTTTAGTGTTCGTGTTTATAGTATATAAAGTAATTCAAAACCATCAATAAATGAACAAAAAAAGTAATAATAGTAGAATTTAGCATGAAAACTTTTTATTCAACATTTGATTTTTTACTTGAACATATTGAACATATTTAATTGCTATAATTCATAACTAAAGATGTTCAATAGATAATTTGTTCAATCAATTCAATTAAATTGTGATGTGTTCATATTTCATTTATTTTTTTATATATATTTCTGATTGATTATATTTACGATAAAATGATGACATTTATCTAAATTATTTAAATAGTACTAATAGCGGAATGGTTAAGTCGGGCCCATGATTTTGTGGGCGTCGATTCGAGTCGTGGTCAAGCCAGGCCCTCTGTGAGCCTTCTCGGTGCTTGCAGCAATAGGGCCATCGTTCATGAATAGTCAAATGAATGAGGTTCAGCCAAGTCGATGGACAATGACAGTGTTAAGGATAGCAGCAGATACACATACAGAGGGAATAGTGGAATCGCAGAGTATCAATATACTGAAGTTAACCTACAAGACGGCAGCCAACCAACATAGTAACATAGTAAAAACATCCATTGGGAAGCTTACGAAAAAGACAAGTGTATTCGCAGGAATAAGATTGTAAATTAAATATCTATGACATAATAAAAAAAATACATTATCCCTATTCCAATACCTAATGTCCCTCGATTAATACACACTTGTTCCTACTCCGCTGCTTTTTTTCCCTCATTGTTCTGTTTTTCATTTGTATATTTGTATATTATTATTATAATACTGTTATTATTCCATATTTAAATTTATGTTCCCGGGCGAAAAGACCTCGGTCGTTAGCCCTTTGGCCAGCCTATCAATATATTTAAAAAAAATAAGGTTTAGAAATATTATAATTTATTGTTTTCTTTATAGTTATGTTCGTGTTTATAGTCTATAAAATTAGATAGAATCATTATTTCACTCAAAAATAAACAACAAATAATATATTTACGTGTAAATAATTCATAAATTAATTCTAAATGTCTGTAATAAATTGAAATATAATTAATTTACAATAATTGAATTATTGATTTAATTTAATAAATAATTAAACATTTTTTTTTTAATATATACAATTTTATAAACTACAATAGTTTATTCAATCAGGGTGAATATTATCCAATTTTTATAAAAAAAACCTCTTCAAATTTTAGATTTTTAAAATCTAGTGATTATTTCTATTATTATAACTAATTTGGACCTAAATCCTTCTGGATTTAAACTTTCCAAGCGTATATTTCTTTCAATTTCTAAAGCATTGCCAGAGATGTGTTCAGTAAGATATCGTTAATTTTACCAACAGGTTAGAAATTCTATAGGTAAAAATAATCTTCAGAATTTGGTGATTATACTCTCTGAAAGTGTAGTCAATTCAAAGAAGATAAAGTTAATTTATATTAATTATAATAATGAAATGAAAACTAAATTATAATTTATTTCTTAATTTAATTTAGATGTTTAATATTTTATTTTGTTTTACTTATTATCAAGAAGAAATTATAAGATTAATTGAAATCTTATAAAAATTGTAAAAGTTCGAAGTGTATTAAACAGTTATTTCATATTCACACTGATAAATCATTATAAGTTTCGCTTCTATTTAAATCTATTGATTTCATGATATTAGTTCTTACCTAATTTCATAAAATATAATTTAATAATAGCAATTTATTGCTTCGAAATTATTGCAAATAGCTACGATAAATTCTTTTCGACTTTTCCTAATTGTAAAAACTTTGCACAGATTACTACAAAAGTAAATAAAAAAAACTATACAAGCAAGTCTTATAATTTATTTAAAACGTATTGCATAATAAAAATACGTTAATAATGTAAAATATTTTTCTCACGATCTCCAGAGTAAACGCCGCAATAAAATATTCAATACTTCGAGACAGTTCAAGTGTGCTTTGGGATTATAACAAACATAATCCCGTGAAAACAAGCGAATATATCAATGGATTATTTTTTTATATGTAACATAATACGTGCTGAACAAAATGCAATATCAATTACATGGACTGAAAATATCAATATATGCTAGGGAAAAGTAAATACTTGAAATGACTTTGATGATGTATAATTATCATAAGCGATATATGTTATTTAATTAGAGACGGCCAAGAGGTTATCCTCGAGAGCTCTCATTAAACTCCGACACCCTGTCAATCCTATGTACAATCCTCCAAACACTCTCGTGCATAAGAGCACAAGCTGTGACCTCTCGTAGTACGAGAATACTGAAGATTGAATTTGAGCCTCATTACTCAATAGAAGTTATTTATTATAAAATGTATGTTCCATTCGTGATATACAAGTTCTATAATATGTTTGTATTTATTTTATGTTATTTTATAATCATGTTATGCATTGTATTTAAGAATGGTTACAAATAATATATAATTGTGCGCTGATCTCCAACAGTTTGGGGTTTATTTATAATGGACGAGGTTTCATTATACGGTTGAAAACATGCATACGTTAATGCGTCTATGTATTATATATTAGGTTGGAACTGTCCTGCATAAATGGCCATAATAAATTTCTAAGGAGGACAAACCTAAAATAACTAGCAACTGTTTCATTCTCATCTCAACGTCTATATACCTTAAGATGCTTACCTAAGGGACACATCTCAAACACGCGATGAGAGTTATTTATCTTTGTCTATGGTACCCTTGATGATGCAACCAACGCAAATCTTCGGAGCATTTCAGCATTCCGAATTATCCAATTAATCCTCATTGATTTATTATATGTGTGTTAACAAAAATTTACCACTTTGGTCAAAACAGCTAAACTTTACTGGAGAGAATAATTAAGTCCAAAATTGGGCCAATAACAATTCTTAAATAAAATAAATATATAAAATAATAATAACTTCTATTAACGAAAAATATTATGAAGAGAACAATTGTAATAGTTGCAAGTATTGATAATGAATACAATAAAGTAATTTATTTCTTTAAAATATTGAGACTTTTGAAATTATATAATCATCAGAAGTGTAGAAAATTATGTTATTAAATACAGTAAGAACTCGTTTACACAAAGTCTAAAATCCTATGTTTAGTTATATGTTTTAATATATACATAATTTATTTACTGTTAACGTGACTTAATTTAATGCCGTGTCGTCTAGGGACGCGTACTAAATGCTAAATGAGATATTACTATACTGGTATCCCCCGACTTACGAACTCACGGACTTACGAACAAACTTCTAAAAGCTCTAACTTGTTACAGGTATATATATATACTATCTGTTTTGTTGAATTTGTTTCTTTTGTCGTTTTTATTAAATAATTGTGATGTCTACATTGAAATTTATTTGTAAGTAAGTACTTTGTTGATTTGAATCAATTATTTCAAATTTATGCAGTCAGTAATAGTTAATATAAAAGTAAAAACCATGAGAAAGTGTGGTAAGATAAGTATATTTTTAAAATTCCCCCGACTTACGAACAACCCTTCGAAACTAAACTAGTTCGTGAGTCGGGGGATACCTGTATATAATAACTTCAAATGTGTTGTATTTTTTGCTGTTTTTTTTGTACCTACACAATGTATCAATTTAAATTTGTTTATTAGCATAATATACATAGGTTTGAATCCGTCTAGTTAAATTATAAAATAAATGAAAATAATAAAATATACATGGTAAATGCTGTTAACATGCACAAACTGTTTGATTATCAAAGTTCTAACGGAATTCTTGATTAATATTTATGTATTAAATCTATTGATTTTTTTAATGTTTATACTTATTGATTTTAGAAGATTAACAATGTCCGTCTAATATCATTTATATTATTGATAACTTGTATACTATTTTTTAATATTTTTTATTTAATTTTACGTTTTATAAACTCAAAAACATTAACAAGTATTTTTTAACCTAAACTGAAATATAATCGAAGCAAAGAACAACAAAACATTTAATAATTAATGTTCCATATGTCAATAATTGCTGAATATGACGTACATATACATATTGATTTTATTTGATGAGGATAGGTATTGAGCTGTGATAAATTATTTTTTATTAAAAATAAATGAACTAAATAATAATTAATTAACATTAAATGAGAAAAGTAGTATGAATTGTTGATGAAATTTAGCTAATAAATTATACAAAGAACAAATTATACCAAACCACGATTTCAGAGCGAACGTTCTATCAGAATTATTGACCAACAATTAAATTATATACTCTATTGATTTGTTTGAATATACAGGGTGATTTATTTAATTTCAACTCCCCAAATAACTGCATTGTGAATTGAGTTATGAATACAAACGTTTACAGTTATTGTTAATTATGAAATTAAAACAATAATATTTGTATATAACATATTAAAATTTATATTAGTTATATAATTACTATTTTTTAAATGATAACTGTCTTATAATCCCCATCCATTCGGTGCATATCGATCTCCACTATGAAATGGAGTTTTGAACCCACCACCTTTATTTCGGATATTTTTTTTGGCAAAGGCTATAAATCATGATCAATTGAACCAAAATAACCTTACAACATGAAATAAATCTACTTCTTATGTACGAAACCTTTTTGTCCATTGACTATTGTGTACATATTATTAACATACTTTCAGTTTATACAGTAAGAAACTAAGCTTTCGTATAAAATTGACATTTATTATTTAAGTTGATATAATTGCTACTATAATTGTTACAATATACAATTTCAAAATATTAAAATACCGACTCTGAAAATTGCGAAAGTATCAAAATCCCGAACTATTCAGCGGATTTTGACAATCCTTTCTCTCTAATGATGGTAACGCATTTAACTTTATCAATGCGCCATATTTATTTGTAAAATTTTTGTATTCTAGTCATAAGAAACAAAAATTTAAATTTAATTATTAATATTTGTTTTAGGTTGTCTTAATTTATAAATTTTATACTGTATTAAATAAGAAAAGTCTTTCTGCGAAGAAACATGTAATTTATAATAATTATTTTT